CCGTAACACTCGCTCTCTTTCTCTCTCTCTCTCTCTCTCTCTCTCTCTCTCTCTCTCTCTCTCTCTCTCTCTCTCTCTCTCTCTCTCTCTCTTTTTCTCTCCTTTTTTTTGCCCAACCTATCCATCTATAATCGTACAAGCTTAAAAATGCTCTGAAGAACCCTGAGGCACAAGCGAGAACTTGAAAGGAACTTTTTGGCGAGAAAAAGAGAACACTTCACTGCAAAACAAGAGTTTACTCCGCTTTTTGTGTCTCGCGTATTTTTTCAAGTTGCATCTTTATTATCGCGTCGAGCTTAGTTTTTCAGAGAAGGAAACATTTTTTTTTCCTTCAGAAATTTTTCCAATTTTTAATTTTTATCCCAAAAAGAAAGTTTTAGAAATTTTTTTTTCGTTCTATTTTTTATTCTTTTATTTTATTAATTTTTTTAAAGTATTTTTAGTGTTTTATTATTACACTGAGAAAAAAATTTATTTGACTCAAATAACCGATTACTTGTCTATATTATCAAATAAATATTTACTTGATTCAAATAATTTTTATCTCGATTTTTTAAATAAAATATTTTTAAATAAAAATTAAATAAAAAATAAATTGTATTTAAACGAATAATTTGCATCTTTATTATCTCGTCAATCTAAGTTTTCAGAAAAAGAAATATTTTTTTCTTTAGAAATTTTTCGAATTTTTAGCTAAAAAAAACCTTAAGATTCCAGTACAAATTTTTTTATTCTATTTTTTATTCTTTTGTTTAATTACTTTTTTAAGTACATATTTCTATTTTTTTTTATTATTACACGAAGAAAAAAAATTATTTGATTCAAATAACCGATTACTTGTCTATTTTCAAAAAAATATTTACTTGAAACAAATCATTTTTATCTCGATTTTTTATTTATTTATTCAATTTTTAAACCCCTTTAATTTTTTTCAATAAAAAAAAAAATAAAAAATTAATTGTATTTAAACAAATAATTTGCATCTTTATTATCTCGTCGAGCTAAGTTTTCAGAAAAAGAAATATTTTTTCTTTCAGAAATTTTTCGAATTTTTAGCTAAAGATTAAAAAATTTTTAAAGCTAAAAATTCCAGTAGAAATTTTTTTATTCTATTTTTTATTCTTCTATTTAATTACTTTTTTAAGTATTATTATTTTATTATTACACTGTGTAAAAAAAAATTATTTCATCTAAAAAATCGATTATTTATCTATTATCATATAAATATTTATTTGAATTAAATAATTTTTATCTTGATTTTTTAAATAAAAATTTTTAATAAAAAATAAATTGTATTTAAACGAATAATTTGCAACTTTATTATTGCGTCAAGCTTAGTTTTCAGAAAAGGGAAAAATTGCTAATAACTTCAATTCTAATTTATAAATTTTTGCAAAATTCAATTATTTTCGAAATTTTATTATAAAATTCCTCAAAAATACAATTATATTTTAAAATAATTTTTAAACATGCAAATAAAAAATATTCTTTAAATCATCTAATTTATTTCAATTAAAATTGGCAACATTTCCAAATAATTAGAAAATAATCTTTTTAAATTATTTTACCTATTTTGAAAAAATTTTAATTACAATTTTTCAAAAGACAAATTTTTTTCTATAATTTCCAAATTAAATTACAATCAAAACTTGAATAATAATTTTTATTAAATAACTATTTAAATACTTATTTCTTTTTTCACGAGAATTAAAATATTTTTAATGAAATTTAACTATTTCCAAAAATTACAATTCTGTAATCCTTTCTGAATTCAATCATTTCTTTGTTGACATTTTTAAATAAAATTCTTTAAAACTAATCATTTTTTGGAAAAATAATAAATTAATAAATTTTCAAAATAAAAATTTTAATATTATTACAGTTTTACAACAATTAAAATTTTTAAATATTCTAATTTAAAAACCCTTTAAAATTTAATTATTTCTAAAAATTCATAATTCTGAGAAAGAATTTTATAAAAATTCTATGCAAATCGTGAATAATTGCATTATTTAAAGGAATTCTTTTAAAAATTGTATTAAAAATAATTGAAATCCTGCGATCATTTTTATTATTTATCAAAATAATTGAATTCTTAGACCGAATTTTATTGAAATTTTTAAAAATAGTTGAATTCCAGATAAGTATTTTATTAAAATTTTTAAAAATAATTGAATTTGAAAGAAGAATTTTATTAAAATTTGGTTAAATAATTGAATTTTCGTTAAAATTTTATTATTTGTGAAAATAATTGAATTTTTGTTAAAATTTTATTATTTGTGAAAATATTTGAATTTTTCCAAAAAAAATTTTCTTTACAACTTGAGAATAATTGAATTTTATAAATTGTACGAAAATTGTAAATAATTTTAATTATTTCAAAGAATTTTATTAAAATTTTGTGAAAAATTGAATTTTTTTAGTGATTTACTGATAGTATTTAAAATGGTATTAAAAATAATTGAATGTTTCTGACGAATTTTATCCAAATTTTGTTTAAGTAAAGAATTAAATTATTTTGATAAATTTTATTAAAATAGTAAATATTGAAAATAATTGAATTTCGGAAAATTTTTGAAAATAATTTAATAGTTTCAAAGAATTTTATTAAAATTTTTTAGAATAATTTTTTTTATTTCAACAATTATCGAATTTAAAGTATAATTGAAATTGTCAAAAAAAAAAAAAAGAAAAAAGTAGCATTTAGTGTCACAAATCTACACTGAAAAAAAAATTTATTTGATGCAAATAAATATTTAATTGATAATAGTCAATTAATCGGTTATTTGAATCGAATAATTTTTTTTTTAGTGTAAAAAATGTAGTAAATAGTAGGTTTTAGTAGATGAGTACAAAGCCTGTTAATTCTACAGAGAAATAAAATAGAAAAAAATTATAATTTTTCCTTTTTGTAAATTCTATAGAAAAAAGTAAAAAAAAAATTGAAATTCATTTTGTTGAATTTGCGAAAAAAAATTTCTATCACAATTTACAAAAAAAAAATGTAGTAGAAAAATATTTTTTTCCTTTTTTTTAATTCGTATTATAGAAAATATAATGAGAAGAGAATTTCTTGTAGGATTTGAATTGTATATAATATTGATCGGCATTGATATATTCGATGGGAAGATAAAATAGAAGAGTTATCATATGTGTGTTCGACGTTATCATGAACCAGTTAAAAAGGCGAGCAGATCGATAACAAGATTTCATGCTCGTGGACTAAAAGAGCCAATCTCGCGATGCACGATCGTGATACATATACATATATACCACCGTGTATATAAAAAAAAATATATATCTAGAAAATATATAACAGGTGCGTGAGTGGTTCACTTATCCATCAATAGACACATTTCACTCGACCGGAAATAAACCATTTTTCCAGTTTTCTTTTGAATTAAAAATGATAACTAATCGTTATAATAATAAATAATCTCAATTTGACGATTTTAAAAAATTTTTCTTTGTTTTTCCATAGAAAAGACTTAATAAAATAATAAATTAAATTTAAATGAAAAATTTAATAAAAATAGTAAATGAATACAAAAAATTCTCTTGAATTTTTCTTTTCTTTTCAATAAAACAACCTTAATAAGTAATAAATAATGAATTTTCTGAATTTTTCCTTTCTTATTCGCTAAAAAATCCTAATAATAATAAATTCAAATCAAATATTAAGTAAGTTAATAAATAAATTCTAAATAAATAAATAAAAATTATTATATCACTTAAATTGAAAAAAAAAATTTTTTTATTTATTTTTTTTCATTTTAATGTTTAATTAAATTAAATTAATTAAAAATTAATTTAATTTTTTTTAAGTCTTGTTTTTTAAACGAAATTAAATAAACGAAATCAATTTGCCTTCTTTTCTCTTTTCTATTCGATAAAAAATCCCAATAATAAATTAAAATTAAATACTAAGTTAATAAATAAATTCTAAATAAATAAAAATTTCGAAATTAATATTATTATTTTAATAAAAAAAAATTTGTTTTCAATTTTTTTATTCAAGACTTTGTTTTCGAGTGGACAGTATATAAAGTGATTAAAGAGACGATCATTAAGGAAAAGTCTTGTGGAATTTAAAAAAAAGGGGTGGGGGGTGCAACTCTTTGAGTCAAAGTTTGGAAAAGTTCTATTTTGTTCATTACACGATTTCTCTTGTAGTTTTTCCGCTCTCATTAACGACGGCTTAAATTATTAAGCGTCTCGACACTTTTTCTTCGTCCTTTCAACTTTATAACTTGTTTTGTAATTAAATATTATATTTCCTCAAAGAACCTCTTTTTGATAATTATTGAGAAACAAATTTTTGCATTTATAGTTTCCCCTCTAACTCTTCTTTTTTTTCATTCCTCTCATATTTCTACGTTTGAAAAATTTTTAAATTCGTTTAGGAAATTTTTTTTTTAATTTTTTTTTATTCTTTTATTTAATTTCTTATTTAAGTATTTTTTATTTTTTATTATTTTATTATTACACTGAAAAAAATTATTTGATTCAAATAAACGATTAGTTGGCTATTATCAAATAAATATTTACTTGAATCAAGTAAATTTTATCTCGATTTTTATTTAAATCAAATAAATTTTATTTAAACGAATAATTTCATTGAAGCAAATACCATTTAATTGATTCAAATAAAAAATTATTTTATTCAAGTGAATATTTAATTGATAATAGTCAAGTAATCAGACATTTGAATATTTGAATTATTATTGTTATATTGTTATATTTTTATTTTTTTATTTTTATATTTTTATATTTTTATATTTATATTTTTATATTTTATATTTTTATATATTTTTATATTTTTATATTTTTATATTTTTATATTTTTATATTTTTATATTTTTATATTTTTATATTTTTATATTTTAATGTTTTTATATTTTTATATTTTTATATTTAAAAAAAATAATTTTGTTAATTTATGTTTAACATAATTTTATTCAAATTATTCATTTTTACAAAATAATTATAGTAAATATTTCATTTTACAAAAGAATAACTAAATTACTGAATAATTAATATTTAGAAAAAAATGAGTGTGTCGGTGTTACAAAAGGACTTAAAATTTATTTCTATAATTCTCGATGGTAAAAAATTTTTGAAAATTAAAATGAAAATCTCAATTATGGCACTTGAAGTAACATTAGTACATGGAAAGTCTTACTATATTATTTGCTCAAAAAAATTAATCGAAAAATGACTTAAAAATGATCTTAAAATTTTTTTGCTACTTTTGCTATTTTTGATTATTTTGCTTTTTTTGAAAATTTTGACAATTTTTTTAAAAATATTTTTGCTCATTTTTATTTTTTATTTATTTATTTATTTATTTATTTTAAAAATTTATTTATTTAATTTTCTTTGCTAGATAAAATTCATGAGATTTTCTGTTTACTTTTCTGATTTTGTTATTGAATATAATATGGAATATAAAAATGGTAAAAATATATTTAGTTTAGAATCTATTTTTAATTCTTTTTTTTTTCTTAAATTTAATGTGTATTTTCACTTATATTCTATTTTTTTTATTTTATCTTCTTTCGGTTTATAATTATTTAAATTTTTTAATTTATTTGAAAAGTTTATGTCCAGTTTTTTTTAAATTTGCCCTCCCGGCTCTCAATTCTTCCTCTGTTATAACAACTTGGCATCTATTGGCATAACGATGACATGTCATTTTCACATTGCTACAACACTGTTCAGAAGATACACACTGAAAAAAATAATTAACATTTTATTATCAAAATTTACAATAAAAATTTTACCCAAAAATTTTTCTTGTGAAAAATAATAATTAATTAAATTTATTGTAAACAATTTTTTAAAATTAACAATAATTAATATATTAATGTATTAATATATTAATTATAATACCTAAAATTTTTTTTATTTTATTAATTATAATTAATTTTTGTTATTAACTAAAATAATTTTTGGCATGCATTAATAATAACTGTACGAATTCGAAATTTTAATCCACTAAATATTAATCTAATAGTGAAAAAAATTGAATTATATAATTGGAGTTTAAAAAAATAAAAATAAAAAAAAGCGCAGAGGTCGTGATCTTAAAATTATATCAATTTCTCTTCTGAATTATAACCTTTCGACACATATGCAACACGTGTCGTTTGACGCGATTCAGTCAATGAATCATTATTTGTAATTTATTAAGTTGTTGACAGTGTGGTTTCAAGTATTTGCCGCGATGTTAATTCATTTCCGAGATTAATTATATGTTGAAAAGCCTCATCATTATCCAGAGTATATTGTATATATAGATATAATTCAAAATTACCATTTTGCGGTGAAATCGTTTTTCCACCCACATATGAAATTTAAATATATTTGGAGCAATTTGATTAAAATAAAAACTAAAAGCAAAAAAAAAATTTTGGGACAAAATATTGAACCAAATTATTGAAATAATGCGTTAATGAAAAATTACACGCGGTAATTAAATATTATTCACACCATAGTTTATGTATAAAAACATTTATTGCGAATTTTTTTTAGAGAATTATTTAACAAAATAATAATTAATTTAACAGAAAAAAAATAAATAAAAATAAATAAAGTTTTTTTTCAATTATTCCGAAAAATGTATTAAGCGGTATTGAAAAAAATTTACCTGGCCATAATTTATTGAAATAGAAAACAATTTAAAAGTTTCTTTTAAAAAAAAGTTTAAAATTTTAATTAATACAGTTAATATTATTGCAGAAATTCCTGTTTCTTTTCAGAAAAAAAATTATTAGTAAAAAAAACTTTAGTCAGACATTTTTCTAAAGGTCAAGATTAATAGCAAAAAAAAAATAGTAATATAAAAAAAATTTGAATTTCAAATTAAATTTTTGATAATTAAAAATATTTTTCATTTTTTTTAATAGTAGTATAAAAAAAAATTGTCTATTTTTAAACAAATTACTTACGGGATCTCCATGACGTCCGCATCTCATACCGACAGTTGAATCTTGTCTATTTGTACTGCGACTCGAGATAATTGTCACCGTCAAGCAAAAAACAATAGTCAAGAGAATGAATTTCGACATTTTGCTCCGTTTGTAATTTTTTTCTTAGAAAAAATTTATCTAAAAATCAAACAATTTATTTATCAATGAAACACTAAATTAAATTTAATTGTGCAATTAAATTAGCTAGTTGATTATTAATTATTACTTTTACTAAATAATTATTAATTCAATTAATTAATTAATTAAAACTATATTATACAATTATTTATTAAAATTAATTATTAATAAATTCAAATAATTTTTTATTTCATTAATTTATAAACAAGTTGACTACTTATTGATGAAATTGATTAAATAATAATTAAATTAACAAAATATTCATTCAATTATTTACTAATTAATAAAATTGATCAATTATTAGTGCAATTGATTGTTTAATAGACAAATTAATTAATTAAATATTAATTAAATTAATTAAATATTAATTAAATTAATTAAATAATTATTCAACTAATTAAATATTATTTTAATTAATTAAATATTAATTCAATTAATTTATTATTAATTCAATTAATTTAATATTAATTCAATTAATTTATTATCAATTCAATTAATTACTAATTAAGAAAACTGATCCATTATTATTAAAAGTGTTAGATTAATTGTTTACTAGATTTAAAAAATTAAAATTTTATCTATGGTCAATACGAAAGAAATTAAAAGAATATATAAAGCATTTTTCTGGAGAGTAAAATTGTTTGAAAAATATTTTATATTTTACAGAAGTAGAGAAAATTAACAGTAAATTTAAAAAATTAATATTTTTTGTAATAGAATTTTGAAAATTAAAGGTAATTGTAGAGCATTTTTGTATTAAATACAAAACCTTGCTTTTTATACTACAACGCACTTCAGAGAAGGATTAACCTTCAAATGAATCATGTTCTTTATAAAAAGTCGCTAGGTCAAGGCAAATCAAGCCTTATTTGAATTTCAAAAGAATTATTTAGTATTTTTTCACTATTAAAAATTTTCTCCTAATATTTATTTTCTTTTCTTCCTACTATCTTTTTTTTTGTCTGCTTTTCACATTATTCCACTATTTTTACTAAGATATTTAGTTATAAGACTATTAAATATTTTAACACTACAATTAATTAATATTTAGCACTAAGAATACTAAATAATTTAGTACTAAACTTATTTTATATTTAGCACTAAAAATACTAAATAATTTAGTACTAAAAATATTGTATATTTGGCACTAAAAATAGAAAATATTTTAGTACTAAAAATACTGTACATTTAGCACTGAGAATAGAAAATATTTTAGTACTAAAAATACTGTACATTTAGCACTGAAAATAGAAAATATTTTTGTACTGAATAGTTGGCACTAAATATATTAAATAGTTTAGTACTAAAAGTACTGAATATTTAGCACTAAAAATACTAAATATTTTAGTAGTAAAAGTACTGAATATTTAGCACTAAAAATAATAAATATTTTAGTACTAAAAGCACTAAGTATTCAGTACTAAAGGTACTAGGCATTTAGTACTAAAATTACTAAGTATTTAGTACTAAAAATACTGAATATTTAGTACTAAAAGTACTGAATATTTAGCAATAAAAATACTAAATATTTAGTATTTTAAAACAAAGTCTTAATTTAAAATTAAAAATTAAATCACTTTTCATCACTTTATAATTTAAACCCCCCCCCCCAAAATAGTACGAACGAAAATTTTAAAAAAATATTAAATTAATTTTACTCACTATTTAATTGATTCTTTAACTTATAGTATTCTATTCGTCGTTGTCGGATAAATTGTACGCGACTGATTTTACATTAAGTAACATTCTCGTTTTATACATCTATTTTGTCTTTAAGTGTATGTAATTTATGCATGACGCGCAAACACACTGAGAGAGCCATATAAAATCACGTATAATCCACACAATTACACGCAACAACTAACAGTTGTCTCGTCATTTTACAACTTTAAACTTGAAATTTTTTTTTCAAACACTATATACTTCTATTAAAAGCAAAAACGTATTTCATAATGACTCATTTCTGCGAATTTAAAATTTCAACAAAAGCGTTTTTTAAAAAAGAAATATGTATTAATTGTAGCAAAAAAAAAATTAACAAAAATTTTTTTATTAAAAATATAACATTTTTTTTATATTTTTTATTTTTTATTATTATTTTTGTTATATTTATTAACCTAATATATTAATTTAATAATTAGTCATTATTTTTTTATTTTTGTTCAATTCAAAATCATTCAATTCAATTACAATTTTCATTCAATTTTTCTTTTATTAATTAATTTTTATTTTTTTTAAATTTTAATTGTTAATTAATAATTAACAATTATATATTAATTTTATTATTCTTTTTGCTAAATAATAATTGCTTTAGATTGTAGAACAAAATCGTTTTTAATATAATTAGTGTATAAATATTATTGATGTTAAGTTAATTGAACTTTCGTTGGTTACACATTGATTTTTATCGATTAAATATAAGAAAAACAATTAAATGAAATCTAAACAGAAGTTGATTTTATTAGATATATTTTTGTTGTGAGAGATTAAAAATGATTGAACGATTGTAGTCATATAAATAGTGAGTTGCGCTATTAAAATGACAATTGTTTATAATTTTCAATTTCCGGCGACGAATCGTAAGCAAAAAATTTTTACTATTATTTATTTACTTTCTTATTCATTTATTTCGTAATTAGTTAATTAGTGAATTAATAATTCCGTTATTTACTTCCTTCTAAATTTGATTCTTTATTTAATTATTTATTTAATCATTTATTTTATTATTTTTTATTTATTTTACAATTTATTTACTCAATTTATTATTTTATTTATTTACTTATTCACTTCGTAATTTATTTACTTATTTATTTTGTTACATATTTCGTCAGATATTTAAGAATTTATTTAGTTATTTATTTATTTTGTTACTTATTTAGTCAGATATTTATTTAACAATTTTTTTTAGTTCTTTATTTACTTATTTAGTTAGTATTATTTTTAGTATTTATTCATATCAAATACAGAAAAATTGTAATAAACGCAAAACTACGAAATAAATAAAATCTAATGCACGAGAGGATTCGAACCCACGACCTACGGACTACCAGACCAGCGCTCCACCACTACGCTACGGACGCTTAGTTATTTTCTTAGTAATTTATTCACTAGTTTATTTATTATTTACTTATTTAGACAGTTATTTATTTACTAATTTATTTACTTATTTGTATTATTATTATTTATTAATTATTAGTTTATGAATTACATTTTCAGCTCTTCGATAATTATTTCTTATTAAAATAAAAAATTTAATTTCTTAAAAAAAAATTTCATCTACATTTTTTTTTGTTCGCAGATTAAAATCAAACATAATGACAAAATTACTGTTAATTTTCGTTCTCATTGTTATTGTCAATTCATACCTCGTGAGTGCTGAGAGTAAACAAGAAATTAAATGTTCCAGAGGATACGTAAGTTTTCTTCTTATTTTTACATTTTTTTAATATGAAAAATACAGTAGACAATAGTGAATTAAAGAAAATAAAAAGAATTAAAATAATTGTTACAGTGTCGCACAACTGATGAGTGTTGTGAAGGTTTAGTATGCTTATTTTACGCTGCAAAGTGTGTGTCAAAAAGAAGTATTCTCGAAGATAGAAGATTCATCATTTCATAGAAAATAGAATTAAAAATTTTAATTCAAATTTTTCATGTGAATTCGAAATTAAAATGTAAATGACCGAATTGCTAAAAAATTATACGAAATTAAAAATACGTACAATTTTTTTTTGTTAATTATAATAATAATATAATTATTAATAAATAATTAAAATAAAAAATTATTTCTATATCTTTGTTTTTACTATTTTATTTATTTATTACCCGAATTCTCGCACTACTCCTAAATAATCAAATTTATTTCTTTTTATTGATTATCGAAAATTATCATAATAGGAAACAAGTGTAATTTATCAGATGGCAATAAAATTTAATAGAAAAAAAAACTAAAATCAATTTTGCAAATTGAGATACAGATTAAATTTGATTGAACGTTTTTTGATTGCTGATTTCACTATAAAAGTAAACGAAATTATTTGAAATCAATAGAAATAAATTTTTTATTCCAAGAAGTAGATGACGCACGAAAAAATTTGAGAAAATAGAACGGTAGGGAAATTTTTTCCTTTTAATAACATTTTTAGTCTTTTAATTAAATTCTGAGTCTGATTTTGATTTATGATTCAAATTTCTCCCTAAATTATTAATTTCATTTAAACATTATTATCAAAATAGTTTCTTTTTTCTTTTTTGTCTCATAGTTAGATTTTTCACATCTCTAAAGAAAAATGAAGAATTTTATGATTATTTTCCTTCTCATTGTTTCCGTGATGACAATTTTCGTGAGTGCTGAAAATGAAAAAGTTGACAAATTATGTTCTCCTGTTGGTCAAACCGTAAGTCTTTGAAATATAATTAGAATAATAATGAACACAATAATAATTATTGTGATATAATTTAATTTAATTAAACGTAAATTATATGGTTTAATTTATGGTTTATTTAAATTTATGGTTTAAACCTGAATTATACTCTCCACCTGCGAACGCCAAGGTCGCCGTTAGATGGCAGTTGATAAAACCAGATTTTTCGCCACCTGGTGGCGATCTTGGCGTTCTCAAGTGGAGGCCTGAAGTATATTGCGATAAATTAATTATAATATAATAAATAATTAATTTGGTAAAATTTATTAATAAAATTAATTAATTTTAACAAAATTAACATAATAATAAAAAAAAGTAATTTTTAATAGTGCCAGACAGACGACGATTGCTGCAGTTATTTAACGTGCCTCACATCCGTTTCGTTATGTGTCCACTCAAGAGCTGCTTTACACAAGAAATTCGTCGATCAAAAACCATTCAAGTAAAAAAATTCCCAAAGAAGTAAAAAAATTCATCAAATTAAAAAATTTCCAAAAAAGTAAAAAATTTATCATATTGAAAAATTTCCAAAGAAGTAAAAAGATTCATTAAATTAAAAAATTTCCAAAGAAGTAAAAAAATTCACGAAATTAAAAAATTTCCAAAAAAAATAAAAATATTCCAAACAGATAAAATTAAAATTTGTAAATAGAAAAAAATTTCGTAACTAGAAAAAAAATGCTCAGTTTCTCAAAAAATATGTTTATAATGTTGATTTTTAAAAATCAACACAGATGCGTGTAATTAAAAAATAATCTTTTTTTTACTCTTCCGCATAGTGATAAAAATAATAAACTACAAAAAAACTATTAATATTATTAAACATACATTCAAAAAAACTAACGAAAATGTAAATTAATTTTATTCAGGTTCTTTTTTTAAAAACTTGTGTAAATTTTATTCGCAATAAAATATCTTATCACAAATGACATACTTTATTTGTAAGAGAATCATTATTCGAGTCACATATATAGATAAATCAGGAAGGCTAAATAAATTTTTTTTTTTTCGAGATTGTATAGTTTCTCGCGCGTTAGTTCACAACAATTCGAAGAAAAGATTCAATTTCACATTAATTAACTTTCCCAGTAAATTATAATCAGCGTCAATCGAATATAGATGCGGATATGAAAACTTTTAACATAAATAAATAAATAAAAATAAAATACTAATACAAATAAATTAGAATAAAAGTAAATAAGAATTGAAAAATAAATATAATAATAAAAATAAATAATAAATTAAAATACGAAAAAAATTTTTGAAATATTAAATTTATTTTTAAAAAAATTATTATTTCTTTATTAAATAAACAAATGATTTCAATTTCATTTTTTAAAGTAAAAAATTAGTAAAAATGATAATATTAGGTAATAATATTTAGGCCTCTTTATTGGAAAAAAAATTCTTGAAGACGAATTATTGAAAAATTATAAAAATTCAATTAACTAATATCTTTTTTTAATTTATTAATTAAGTAATTAAATTTAAGTAAATACGTAAACTTACGACATGAAACAATTTTTAAGAATCATGATGAATAATAAATTAATAATTAACAATTGTCGACAATAGTTGTTTTCTTCTTCTAATTTTTCAATAATTTCTAATTAAGTCCATAGAAATAATTAATCCACCTTAACTAACGCATTTTGCTGCATATGACAAGCATCGTAAATTTGCGCAACATTCCAACTTTTTTGTGCACTGCAATTAAAAAAATTAATTTTCTAAAATTGGGAAAGAATAATTTTAAAATTTTTATTTTCGAATTTTTGAATTAATTTTTAATTTCATTAGATGCATGAAAAATATAAATGAAGAAATTAATGAAAAAGAGTAATAAAATAGTACCAAAATAGATTTTCATAAAAATTTTATCTAATTTTGATAGGAAATATAATTTTTATTTCGAAACGTAAATTGGTTTTGTGGGAGAAAAACTTACGAATTCGCCTTTGGGACTACACGATGGTTTTGGATTTCCCTGTCCCGTTACAATCATGACGATTAATGTAAGACAAAGGAATAGTAACATTTTTGACATTTTTTCTTCAAAGCAAAAATAAACTTGTTTAGTCGAATTTCTATGCAACAAAATAAAGAACAATAATTATTAATCTTTTTTGATTTGAATAACTAATGAAATTTTTATACAAAAATGTCAAAAATATTTAGTGTATAACGAAAATGAATTTTTTAAATCTTCTCATGTAATTATTCGAAATTAAAATAATAAAGTGATAGTAAAATAAAAAGTAAAAAAATTACTTAACTTATTTATTTAATTTAATTATATTTTGATTATTTAATTAATAAAAAAAAAGTAAATGAAGCGAAAAAAATATATAATGTTGAAAATAGTACTATAATTGTACAAATTGCAACTAATTGTAAAAAGAATAATTTTTTTTCGCTTCAAAATTATTTGCAAGTAAAATTGTACACACACCTTGAAGTTTTGAAGTATTGTTTAAATAGGAACTGTGACTTCAAGCGAAATTACTTTAGTATTTATACTGGTTTTGTATTATAACTGGTATTGAGCGTGTTATTCTTTTATTTCGCTGTACATATTATTTTTTTTCAGCTAATACAATAAATAAATAATTTATTTTATCTATAACAATTTATTTATTCAACCTCAAAAAAAAAAAAAAAAAAAAAAAATAGTAAAAAAAATAGTATTTAAAAAGAAAAAGAGGAAACAACAAAGCTTATTAAATTCTAATTTTTTTCTCAAGAAATAATATCATTAAATTATTCGTTCTATTTTTCTTTTCTTGGACTAGTTCACTTTTTTCATACATAACGGGTTAAATTATTTATCAGAAAATTAGAATATCGAATATAATAATTCATAAATAAAAATAAAATAATAAATAAAAATAATTGATTTATTAATTATTTAATAAATAATTAAAAATGTTAAATATTCGTATAGTTAAATTAGATAATCAACTTTAATTAGATTGAAAAAAACTTGTTTTTTCTAGCAATTTCTTTTGTTATAGTAAATTTATAATAAAATAAAACGTAAATGCGGCATTTAGGCGTTTTTAATAACAGAAACAATTATTCTTGAAGATTAATTATTGAAATTATTAAAATTATTATTTAAATTATTAAACTTTTTCATTATAATCAATAACTTATTTTTATTAAATTCTTAAATTTAATTAAGTACATAAGCTTATGTTATAAATAGATTTCTAAGAAAACTAAAAGTATTTAGTTTGTGTCATGATGAATATAATAATTAATGATTGTCGATAATAGTTTTTTTCTTCTTCTAATTTTTGGGAAATGGTTCAAGAGGTCTCGTGTCTTGTCCAGGAATAATTAATCCACCTTTGCTAATGCACCTTGCCAAATATGACATGCATTGTAAATGTCGGCAACATTCAGAAGATTCCTTGCACTGCAAGTTTAAAAAATAAATTAAAAATTACTTTTTTATATGTTAAAAAAATATTTTTGTAATTTGTATTCAATTTTTTAATTCAATTTTACGCTTTTTTTAATATTTACCTATATTTTTAATTTTATTTATTACTTTATGTATTAATTTATTTATTATTCTATTTATTATTTTTATTTAATTTTATTTTTCAAGTATTCTTCGTTTTATTAATCTTAATTTTTTTAATTTTTATTATATATGGAAAGTCTGACTATTAATTATAATTCTCACTTTCATCCCCTTTATAGGTGGACGAAAGTTTATACTAAAAATAAATATTATTAAATAATCTATTAAAAAAAATTGTTTTGAAAAAATTATTTATTATTAGTAAAAAAAAATATACTTTTATAAAAATTGTATTTTCTTTTTCGCTTTTATAAGTTTCTTATTTTGTAAACTCAAAATAGAAAATTAAGTAAATAAAGAAACAGATAATTAATAGTGTGATAAAATAGTACTAAAATAGTTATTTATAAAAAAATTATCTAATGATTGGAAATGTAATTCTTTATTTCGAGATGTAAATTGATTTTGTAAGGGGGAAACTTACGTATCCATGAAGAGGACTGCACAATGGTTGTGGTTTATCCTGTCCCGTTACAATCATAACGATTAACGTAATGCAAAGGAAAAATAAAATTTTCGACATTTTTTTTTTTCAAAAAGAAAAAACTTGATGAGTCGAGTTTCTATTTGGAAAAAATAAATAATAATTATTAATATATGTTTTTTTGCTATTAATATCTTTCTCTCTAATAATTAATAACATTTTCGTACAAAAATATTTAGTAATTTTCATACAAAAAAATATTTAGTACTTTTCATACAAAAATATTTAGTGATTTTCATACAAAAATTTATACAAAAATATTTAGTAATTTGCGTACAAAAATATTTAGTAATTTTCATACAAAAAAATATTTAGTAATTTGTGTATTAAAATATTTAGTAATTTTCATACAAAAATATTGATTACTTTTTATACAAAAATATTGATTACTTTTTATACAAAAATATTTAGTAATTTGTGTACTAAAATATTTAGTACTTTTTGTAATAAAAAATATTTTTATTATAAAAAAATATTTTTATTATACAAAAATATTTTTATTATACAGAAATATTTTTATTGTATAACAAAAATTAATTTTATTCGGTAAAGACAGCAAAAAGTGTTCTCACGTAATTATTGTAATTAAAAAAATGAACAAAGTGATAACAAGATAAAAACAAATGAAATAATTAATTTTTCTATTTAATAATAAACGAACCGATTGGAAAAAAATTTAATATGAGAATTATTTGTTGCATTGCTTTCTAGAATTTTTTTTTTTTTATACTCAATGTCAGTGTAAAAAAAATCATTTTTCTTATAAATAAACATTTATTGCTTATTTTGCAAAAAGGGCCAAATTGAAATAAATACAAAGAAATAAATTTTAAAAAAATTATTTTAATTGAAAAAAATAATTTTTTCTCGATTCAAAAAAAAAAATTGTACAAACCTTGAAGTTTTTCAAGTATTGTTTAAATAGTAACTGAGATTTAATGCGAATTTACCGGTGCATTTATACTAACTGGTGTTAAAAGTCAGAACTTATTTATGCTGGCACCTTCTTCTTTTGCAAAGCACTTCTTTGCAGAAAGTAGGGGACGGGTTCATTCAAAGTCAATCTAGCGCGTCATTTCTTTTATTTCGCTGTATATATTATTTATTTTCAGTTGTTGTAATAAATAAAGAATTTCTTTTACATATTATAATAATTTATTTATTCACACCTCCAAAAATAAAGATTCATATTTCAAAAGGAGAGGAAAAGAAAACAAAACTTATTCAATTGTAATTTTTTTCTTGAGAAATAATTTCATAAATTTTTCGTTCTATTTTTTTTTTTTTTGCTCTTGGACTCGTTTAGTTTTTTAATAGAGAAAAATTTAATCTACAATAATTGATATTAATTATAACAATGAGATAAATTATTTTCCAGAAAAGTAAAATGAAAATAAAACAAAAAGAAAATCAAGAAGAAAAATAAAAAGAAATAAATAATTATATTATAATTGTATAAAAATAATTGTATTAAATATTAATAATTTACTTTAATAATTGAAATATTAAACATTCAATAGTTAAATTAAATAATCGATTTTAACTGGATCGAAAAAATTCCCGTTTGATAATTTATTACGGAAAATTTAATGACATCAATTAAATTTACATGTATTACGCATATTTTTCTTTTAATTTCCGTTTCATCACCTTTTGTTTTTCCTTTACAACTTACGACAGTCAGAAAGGAAGAAAACTTTTTCCATTGAATTTTTCATATTAGATGCAAAAAAAGAAGAAATTTTGTAATTTAAAAAAATACCAGATGCATCACGTGATGATTACATCAAAGAATAAATTATTCAAAAAAAAAGGTAAACATGAAATTCCATTTTATTTTAATTCTATTACAATATTACAATTCTATTACAATAAGTGTGACTATGATAAATTTCACAAAAAAAATGAATTGTTAATAAATTAATTAATGTCAATTACTAATGGAAAAATTTTGGGGTAAAAATTTCTAAAGAACATATTTTTTGGACAATTAATAATAAAAGGATGAAATAAAACAAGAAAAATAAAATAATAGAGCCTTTGGAATAATATAATAAAATAAAAATAAAATTATAAAGAAAAATAAGAGGAAAATATTAAAACAAAATAAAATAATAGAGCCTTCAGAATAATATAGAATAGAATTTATTTATTTTTTTTAGAATAGAATAGAATTCAGAATAATATAATTAATATAATAAAAATAAAATAATGAAATAAAAATAATTTTAAAAAATAATAATTAAAATTTAAAAAAAATAATTATATTATATAAGAAAAAATAAATATAATAAGAAAAAAGTAAAATACAAATAAGTAAGAAATAAAAGAATAATAATAAAAATAATAGAATAAAATAAAGAATTAAAAACAAAGGATTAATAAAATTACAATTATAATTTGAAGTAAACAAGAATTTATTGAATTAATTTAAATTACAATCACAATCGGTAGTAGCATAATGAGATATTTTTTTTAAAGTCAGTTCAATTGTTTCGGCATCAAATTAAGGGGCTGCTTCAACTGGTGGAGGAACTGGTTTAACTTTGGTGCAACGGCGAGCCCAAATGTTACAATGATACATTGGACAGCAATCGTCGTCAGACATGCACTGTTGAAAGAAAAAATTTTCTATTACGAATGTATTTATTCAAAGAGAATGCACTTGACATTAAATATATCTTATATTAATCGAGATATAAATATAATAATTTATCTTCCCTCGATAATCAATTTTAATTTAAATATAAAAAAAACAAAAATAGGAATTAACCCAAAAGATAAATATTGTTACTATCACTATTGTCAGTTATCAATAAATTAAATTAAGTAAATTGAAATAAATTAAATTCTGTAAATTAAAATAAATTAAATTATGTAAATTCAATTAAAGTAAATTAAGTAAATTAAAATAAATCAAGTTATGTAAATTCAAATAAATTAAATTCTATTAATTCGAAGGATTTCAGAATTCAAATATAAAGAAAATTATTCACTGAAAAAATAATTTATTTAATTCAAATAATCGAGAGGCAAAAAATATTTTATCTGGAACAAATATAAATTTTATTATATTAGGAAAATTTTTAGTTCTTTCAGGTAAAATAATTGAGAATAATTATTTTTCTTTATTATTAGTGTAGAAAAATAAAAATTCGTGAATTGACTCTTAACAAAATAAATTAAAAATTATAATTTTAAATAATTATAATGATAATAAATATATAAATAAATTATAAAATTAAAAATTATAATGAATCATTATTTCTCTATTCGACGTTTGGAGAAATGTTAAATAAATATAATTTCCATGAAAATTTTTGCATAAACAATAATATTATGTGTGACTTACTGGAAAACCCGGTGGATTGCAAGCAATAGCTACGCTCACGACCAAGAAAGCAATGCAAAGAACCAACAGTAATTTAGTCATTTTGAACCTTTTCGAAAAAAAATAAAATTATTATTTTAAAATTTTATCTACAATTTCAAATTGAAATTTAAAAAAAAAATGAAATATTTAAACATCGACACTTATATAGACTTATATGTCATTTATTATAAACAAAATATAATATGAATAAAATATTTAAAATTTAAATAAAATGTAAACAAAATATAAACAAAATTAATAGACAAAAAAAAACTTTATTTTAGTTATACTTTAATTTCTTTAATATATTATTATTTAATATATTATTATTTAATATGGTAGTTAATTTTATCATTTAATGCTACCGAGTGATAAAATATAAAATCAAACAATTTATTAATTAAACAAATGCAAATTAAAAAATTTTTTATTAATAATAAAAAAAGTAATAAAAAATTAATAAAAATAAGAAATAATAGAAAAAAGGTTAATAACAGAAATTAAATACTTTGAGAATGAATGTTTTTGAAAGGAACTTTTCGTTGTTGCAGTAACTGTGATTCTGCAATAAACTAACATCGACCCTTATATACTTAATTTGTCCACTAATAGTTGTCAACACCTTTTACCTTGGTCACCTAATCGACATAATCTTTTCCATTTGTTTGCAATAGATCTTTATCTAGAAATTTTTATTTTTATTTATTTTTTTATTGAATTCACCACACGCAGAGGTAAACAATTCCATTGAGATGAATTTCTTTTGTTTCAGTACGAACTTTCCTGGAAAAGTGGAAGTGGGAATTTTTTTTTTAACCCAGAAAAGAAAAATTCTTTAGTTTAAAAATTATTATCATTATTATTAGTACTATTTTTATTACAATTTTTTGTTGTTCTTATTATTATTTTTGTTGTTATTATTATTTTTTTTATTATTAATATTATTTTTTTTGTTATTAATATTACTTTTTTGGTTCTTGATATTATTTTTTTTTGTTATTAATAATAAATATAATACGCGAATAGCATACGAAATATTTAATTCTTAGAATATTGAGTGGAATTTCCACTTTTGTTATAACTATTCTATACTTCTCAGCAAATAATGTTACGCAACTAATTCTCTCTTTAAATCTAAATTAGTGAAAATGGAGCTGTTAATATTCGTATTAGTAGGAATAATTACTAATTTTTATGTAAAATGTTACTATTTTATTTATTAGTTATAATTTTTTTTTATGAAAATCCTAAGGAATTATTTTTACTTCTACTGAAAATTAGTAGAGAAAATACTATTAATAAAATAAAGAAGAAAAATACTATTTCCAAAATAAATAAAAACCCCAAAAAAATATTCAATAAAAATTCAAAATTAAAATATTTTATTTAGTAAAAAACCCACAATTTTTACTTAAAATTAGTAAAAAAAACTGTTACTAAAATAAATAAAAAATACTGTTTCCAAAATAAATAAAAATTAAAAAAAATATTCAATAAAAATTTAAATATTCTAATTAGTAAAAAAACCACAATTTTTACTAAAAATTAGTAAAAAAAACTGTTACTAAAATAAATAAAAAATACTATTTCTAAAAATTAGTAAAAACTACTGTTACTAAAATAAATAAAAAATACTATTTCTAAAAATTAGTAAAAAAAAATCTGTTACTAGAATAAATAAAAAATACCATTACTAAAAAATAGTAAAAAAAACCGCAATTTAAGTAACATTTCATTAGTAAAAATAAAATAGTAGTAGCAGTTACTACCAAAAACTTTTAGTTTTATAAATTTATTATAGATCGTTTTTCTTTTCAAAATATTTTAATAATAATAATTTTTGTTTACTAAGAAAAGACGAAAAAATTTAAATTTTACTAATTAATTGAAATTAACATTAAATTAAATTAATGTAAAACAATAAAATTCATGAAAGTATAGGAAACTTTTAATTTTTCGAAAAATAAATCTCGGGATTCTTCCTAAAGTAAATTTATCTTTATCTGGATAATTTTTCAAGTTGAGATTGAGCTTTATCTTGAAGGTGACAAACACGTTATTTTATATTTTCTGCACTATGAGCAACAAACGTAAACGTTACGATTTCAAAATATTTCTGCGAAGAAATATTTTTTTCATTTTTTTCTACTTTTTTTTATTTTGCGAAGAAGAATTTTTTCTATACAAGAAAAATATTTTTTCTATAAAAGAAAAATAAAGAAGAGATTAAAAAATATTTTTTCTATTCAAAAAAGAATGTTGGAAAATTAATAATTCAAAATTTGGAATTGTATTTTTTCCACTATTACAATCAGCTTTCTTTGTTTATTTGTTTTTTTTCTGCTAAAAATAAATTCTAATTTTTTTATCTTTATCTAATTAATTCATTTTTGAATTCATTTTATTCTTCTTAAAAATGTGTCAAAGTATTTTTTTTTGGAATCGATAAATATTTAATATTTGAAGAATAATAATATTCGAACAATATTGCAACTGTGCATATAAAACTTAATGTAAATCATATATCATCTGTGAACTGATAACATTAAAATAAGATCTTGAGGATCAGAAATAAACCGAGTCAGGCGATTTTTGATAAATTAATTTCAATAATAATTCTTATCAATGAAAGAAAATGTATAATTAAAATATATACTAAATATAAAAGAAAGTAAAAATATTTTATCATAGATAAGCAAATATTTGCCTCTGGCACTGAAAAATTTTGTCACTACTTCAAACTATTAAATAATTAAATAATAAAATTGCTAATTAATAAAACTATTAACTAATTAAAATATTAATGAAATTATGAACTGGTAAATAGTCATTAATTATTGTTAATAATAATAAATTCAAACTAGATAAAAAAATTTACCAACTTTGAAAAATATTTATTTAAAAAATATTAATTAATTGCTGCTTAATTAATTATTAATTAGTTAATTAATTAACGATATGAAGAAGATCATAAACTGAGGGAAAAAATTTATTTTAACCAAATTATTTACTATTTGACTACTATTTATAAAATAAATATTTATAAACTGATTGTTTAAAAAATAAATAATTATTAAATGGATATTTATAAAATAAATATTTATTTACTTAAGAAACTTTTTTTTTTTAATTCAACTTCATAATTCGAAACCAAAAATTTCTATGTTTGAATTAAATATTATTTCGAGTATTATTTAATTGATTATTTTAAATAAAAATTATTTGAACTCAATACTATTTAATTCATTAAAATAACAATTAATTGATGCATATAAATAGCCAAATATTCTACTATTTAAATGAAATAAATTTTTTAATAAACAAAAAATCATTTATATTTCTCAAATTGTCTAGAAACATGATGCCTTAATTATAATAATAAAATTTTTTTTGGAAAATAAATTTAGAAATAAAAGTTTTTGTTTTAAGAATAATTGTTTACTAAATAATAAATAAATGGTAAATAATATTTACTTCAATTTCAATTTATTTCCATTTAAATGCAAAGTCAGAAAAATTAAAAATTGAAAATAATATTTGTCTCGCGCAAACATTAAAAAACAATGAGATATATATATAATAAGAAGGATGTGAGTTTATTTTTAAATTAATTTAAACAAATTATTCCCAAAAGCTTAAGAGGAGGATGTCCTACTTGATAAGATTACTGATAAAAATTTAATCTTTATGCATCCAAAATTAATTACTGAAGCGGATCAAATTTAATATAAAAGCGTCGAATTCTCCATCCAAATCATCACAGTCCTTTCACTTGAAACATTAAGTGCTTCTAAAAACAATTCAAAGTAAGAAATTAACATTCAATAAGAAGTAAATTAATATTCAATAAATTTTCAGTATTAATTAATTAATAAATTTTCGATATTAATTAATAAATTTTTGTTATTAATTAATAAATTCTTGTTATTAATTAATTTTTTAATACTAATTGAATAATTAATATTTAGTAATAATTAAATTACTAAATAAATTTAATTCGAAAAATTAAATTAAAAATCACTGACTAATTAATAGAAATAATTTGTCAAAATTTACCAACTAATTCAAAAGGCAGTGAAAAAAAAATTAACGAAACTTTTCAAAATTTGTCAACAAATTAAACTTTAAAAAAGAAATATTTTCTTTTATATTAAATTAATATTAACTTTGTGTTAAATTTTTTTTCCTAAAAAATAAATTTGTTATTAACAAATATTGATAGACTTTTAAATAATAACAATGTTTTATAAGAAAAATTACTTTTTATTAACAATATTTTTCATTCTACCTCTTTAATGGAACTTTACAATTTGCTTGTAACTATTTCTATTTTTTAATTTTTTTTTAAATCTGCTTGTGACTATTTTTTCTTTGTTTTTTTGCAAAAAGAAAAAAAAATTGTTTTGACAGTAAAAATGAATTAATTCTAATTATTTTCAATAGGTTTTTATTCAAATTCATTTGAAAAATCAAGATGAAATACTCCGTTGTTTTCCTTTTGTTCGTCGGTCTCTGCGTCGTTGCCACTTTTGCCAACGAAGAGCCATCAGTTGAAGATGTTGGCACAGAATGCGGAGAGAATGGTGCACCTGTAAGTTTAAAAAATTCATTTTCTAATTATTATTTTATTAATTATTATCAATTATTATTTCTAATTGCAATTATTATATTTATTTAAATACATAATTTAAATATATTTTTTAATTAAAATAATATTAATTATTTATTGTTATATTAAATTTTCAGTGCACAAAGGACTTAGACTGTTGTAAGGGCAACCGGTGTAATGACAAAACTCAAAGATGCGAAAGACGATGCCGCCGTGAAGGAGACCGAGTTAGTAATTTTTTTTTTTTTTATTTAATTAATATTACTTTATTGTATTTTTTCTAATTTTCTTATTATTATAATTATTTTCTTTATTTTTTATTGTTCAATTTATTTATTCGTTAATATTCAAAAGTCGAATATACAGAAAAAATATAGAGAAAAATTTTTCTAATGAAATAAAGAAATTATTTTTGGAAAAAAAAATAATGAAAAAATTGTTTCTTTAATTTTATAGTGCGAACGTGACAGGAACTGCTGCGAAGGAATGAAATGCCGCAACAAGAAGTGCGCTCGTCAAGATTGCGGTAGAGGAGGAGCCAAGGTAAAAATTTAATTTTCTTTTTTGACAGTACGTTAATATTTACAAGAACAAAAAAATGATAATCAATTTTTTTTAACATTTTCTTTCGACAAAACGAGAAAAATTAAATAACATTTCTTTGCATTAAAATAAAAAAAAAAAAATAACTTCTCTTTGGAATAAAATAAAATAGTACAGTATAGTATTTCTTTTTTAATAAAATAAAAAAATTAAGTAACATTTCTCGAAATCGAAAAAAGATTTTTTTTTAATATTTCTAGAAAGAAAAATATTCTTTTTAATAAAATTAAATATTTCACTTTCATTTTTTTAGTGCGAAAACAACTTGAACTGTTGTCAAGGTTTGGTGTGCAGAAACAAACGTTGCTCCGAGAGAATGTAAATTTAAAAAAAAATGGACAATCAAACACTGAACGAATATCTGGACAGCGAATAATACCAATTCTACTTAAATGATATGTTTTAATTTTTCTTAATTATCACTATTATTTCCTTTGTAAATACCAAATTTATTAAATAAATAAAAACTAAAATCAAAAAACCTATTTTTCATTTAAATTCCTCACACTTTAATTTCTAAATTATATACTAGAAATTTTCATTTTTTTCTCTTATAAAAAATAAACAAAAAATCAAAATTCTAAACATATTTTCTTATGAATCAAGCTAAGAAAAATTTATTTTTGTTGAATTGCTTTCACTTTTTTTCAAGTCGCAAAACTTTTGCGAATGCAATGAATAAATAAACATTTTAAAAAAATATTATTGTTTAATTATGAAAGTTTTCCTTAAAGAAAATTATTTCGAGTTGATATAAATTTGGAGAATTATTCTTCATGAACAATTTTATTTTCTTCTTTCGCTGAAGAATTTTCATTTCTACTTAATTTCGCAAAAAGGTAAAAATTTCTAATTAATCATTTTTTACACTGTTTTGAAAAAATTATTTCAATTTAAATTATTTAATAAAACTACTTTAGAAAATTTTACATTTGTACATTATTATTTTATTTATATTATTAAAATTTAGTAAAATTAAAAAAATATATTATTAGAATGAAAAATTATTGAATTAAATTACAGTATTAAAATTTCAAATGAAAAATCTAATTTCTTTAGTAAAAATTAACTGAAGAAATTAGATTTTTCATTTAAAAGTTTCAATTTGTAAATTATTTACAATTAATTATATTAATAAATTTTCAAATTATTATTTTGTAATTATTATTTTGCTACTATTTTGCAAATGAAAAAAAAAGAAATTATAAATTATAATTCATTTTAATAACATTAGGTAATTTTATGTTTAACTACTTTAGTTTAATTAATTCGATTTATTTAGTAAATATTTATTTTAATTAATTTATTATTTAGATGAGGTATTTTATTAATTTTCTCTTAATCGTTGGACTTTTGGTGATAACTGTCAATGGTCAACCCTGCAAACCTGCATTCTCTTCAGTGAGGAAAAACAATATTTTTGATAAACTATTTATTATTTTCTTCATAATATTAGTTAATATTTAATTAAACATTCAAAATTTTTTTTTCCAAGTGCGTGACGACTCGAGAATGTTGCCCTAATCTTGAATGCGACATCCAAGATCGCCAATGCTTGGGTCGACTTAGATGTCGAAGATTGGGAAATCATGTAAGTGAATATAATTTTTCAAAAAAACATTTTACTATTAAAAAACTTTTCATAAAATCTCTAATATTTTTTTTAAATTATTAAATTTTATTCATTGTAATTTTAATTATATTTTATTTAATACAATTGACTCTATTTATTGAAAAATATGTTAAAAATTGATTTTATAAAAATAAAAAATATTTTTTTCTCATTTCTCAGTGTATTACCGATATAAATTGCTGTGCTGGTCTTCGCTGTCATCCACAACGACAAACATGTGTCAGGGCTCAGGATATTTGTCAACAATGGGGACAATATGTAAGTATAAAAAAAATTAATCTTGAATAAAAAAAAAAAATTTCTATCTATTTAGATTTATTTAGAAAAAAATTTATTCATAAATATAATATTTATTTATTTATCTACAAAATCTGTTTATTTTGAAAATAAAATAAATATTTTTAACAAGATTTATTCAGAAAAATAATATTTAGTAAATAAAGTAAATATTCAGAAGAAAAAATTTACTCAGGAATACATTTTGCTTCCTCATAAAGGAAGCCTTATAGTGATTTTCAAAAATATCTAAAAAAAAAAAATTTTTCCACAATTTTTTAATTTTTGAAAAAAAATTAATTTTTGGATTTTTTGAAATAACTTTTTTCTATATTAAAATTTTTATTAATTCTTGTCAAAATTGCATTCCTGACATAAAAACGAATCGATTCATGTATATAAAGTATATATTTTATCAAAATTTATAGAATTAATAAATATTTTAATTTTTCACAAAAAATTTAAATTTTGTATTTTTTGACATTTTATCTTAACACTTTAAAATAATTATTCTAAAATAAAAAATTAAACAATTGGTATATATTATATTGAGGAAGCTTAATGATCATGAAATGAACAACTTGCTTTTTAAATAATATTCGGTAATAAAAAAAATAATAATAAATAAAATAATAATAATAATAAAATATTAGATATTTAAAAGAATTTATCACTTGGTAAAAAATTATATAATTAATATAATTAAATTAATAGAAATTAATGTTAATAAAAATATTGTTTATTTATTTTAAGTGTGATGCCTTTAATCAATGCTGTTCTGGTTTGAGATGCAATAGAGGCCGATGTGGACAATAATCTAGTCGATAAATCATATTAAAAAAAAATTGTAAATTCAAAAATTACAATTAGAAATTATTCAAATAAATTAACATATGTCGAAAATATACAAAGCCTTTTGTAACTATTTTTAGAAGTTTCCGTTTCTTCCTATTTTTTTGCATTTAAAATAAAAATTGTCTTTTATTTATTTATTTTTTTATTTATTTAATTGTCTTTTTCTTTATTTAAATTAATTTTAATTTAAATAACAACATTCATAATTTAAGTAATACGTAAAATATTTTAATTTTTTATGTATTTTTCAATAAACACTATTATTTCTTTTGTAAACATCAAATTAATTAAATAAATTAAAAATTAAATCAAAAAATTATTTTTCACTTCAATTCCACGAACTTTAATTTGTTAAACAAAACAAAAAGCAATTCTAAACAAAAATAATAGTCCATTTAGTCCATTTTTTTAGACTCAAGCAATAATAACGATAAGAACAATTTATTGACTTAATTTTGCTTCCTCATGAGGAAGCTTTGCATTGGTGACGATTTTCAATTTTTCAAAAGAAGGTTATATGGACTCATTTTCATCTAGAACATATGTATATTCAATTATGAGCAAATGTCCAGATGTATGTGTGTGTATGTATGTGTGTATGTGTGTGTGTATGTGTGTATGTGTGTGTGTATGTCACAAAAATTGTGTACAAATTATCTCAGACAAATTTTGATGGATTGTCCTGAAATTCTGCAGGTTTATTGCAGTCATTAATACCTGAAATCTGACACAAGGATTTTCAAAAATATCTACAAAATTTTTTTTTATACAATTTTTTTAAAATTCAGAAAAATTTTTTTCTTTGTATTTTCTGAAATAATTTTTTTTATTTGTTAATATTTTTATTAATTATTCTCAAAGTTACATTCCTGGCAAGAAAACGAATCGATTGATGTATACAAAGTATATATTTTATCAAAATTTATAAAATTAATAAATATTTTTCTTTTTCACAAAAAAATTCAAATTTTGTATTTTTTTCATAATTAATTTAATATTAATATTAATATTTTGAAATGATTATTCTATCATAAAATAGAAGCAATTGGCAAATGAAAGTGTAAATTTCACCAAATATTTATACAACAACTTATAAATGATTTATATAATTTTATTTTTAACAAAATCTTCTGGACGAACCCTTTTGTACATAGTTTTTCAAAAGTTTGCAAAACCGCAATTTTTATATATTAAGGAAGCTAAATGGTCATAAAATGAACAACTTGTTTTCTCTCGAACTGCCTTTCAATTTTTTCAAGAGGCAAAAATTTTTGCAAATGAAATAATTATATTATAAATATATTTAACAATAATTATTTAAATATTAAGCCAATAGCGAGAAGAAGAATAATTTATTTTTGATAAACTGCTTTTCACTTTTTTCAAGTGGCAAAAATTTCGCAATGCAAAAAAACAAATAAACAAACAAACATTTAATAAGAAAAAAAATATTATTGTCAAATTACAACAGTTTTCCTCAAAGAGAATCATTTTGGATTGATATAAATTTGGAAAATTAATCATCATGAACATATTTTATTTTCTTCTTTCGCTGACGTATTTTCATTTCTACTTATATTTCCCAAAAAGGTAAAAAAATTTTGTTAACGCTTCTTTTTCTACATTGTCAATTTTTTAACTTAAATTATAACTAGGTACTTTATTAAATTTTAAATTATAACTTATTCAATTTAATTACATTATTAAACTTTCAAATTATATATGTAATTAAATTATTGAATTGAATAATTTAATTTTTAATTACATTAAAAATTTTTCTAATTTTTATTTTGCTTTTACTTTGCAAGTGAAAAGAAAATTATTTAATTTAATTACATTACTGAATTTTAAGTTCAATTGCTTTAATATAATTTATTTAATTTATTTACTAATATTTAATAATATTTATTTCAATTAATTTCTTCAGATGAGGTATTTTATTAATTTTCTCTTAATCGTTGGACTTTTGGTCGTAACTATCAGTGGCCAACCCTGCAAACCTGAAGGCTTTACTGTGAGTATAAAGCATTTTTTTATAGACTATTTATTATTGTTTACGTAATATTAGTTAATATTTAATTTTGCATTAAAAATAAATTTTTTTTTCAAGTGCGTTGCCACTCGAGAATGTTGCCCTAATCTTGAATGCAGCATCCATGATCGCCAATGCTTGGGTCGATTCACTTGCCGAAGATTGGGACAATATGTAAGTGAATATAATTTTTCAAAAAATATTTTACTGTTAGAAAACTTTTTTTAAAGTTAAATATTTTTTGAATTATTAAATTTTATTAATTTTAATTCATTTATTTGTTTTGATTATAATTATCTATTTTAATTTTAAATTATTTCTTAGTGTACTAGCGATGTAAATTGCTGCGCTGGTCTTCGCTGCCATCCACAACGATCAAGATGTGTCACAGCTGATTCACTTTGTCGACAATGGGGACAAGCTGTAAGTTAAAAAAAAATGAATCTTGAATAAAAAAATTATATTCTGTTTAGAAAAATAATATTTAGAAAAAAGTTATTTAGAAAAAAATTATTTAGAAAAAAGTTATTTTCAAAAATAATATTTATAATGAAAATTTTTTTGTAATTAAATTTTTTTCTAAATAGTAGTAATATTTACAAAAAATGGTAATTTTAATAAAAATATTTTTTATTTATTTTAAGTGTGATATCTTTAATAAATGCTGTTCTGGTTTGAGATGCAATATGAGAGGCCAATGTCAATTTTAATCAAGTGGATAAATCATAAAAAAATTGTAATTTCAAAAAATTACAAACCTCTGTTAAAAAACTATTCAAATAAATTAATATTGCAAAAATCTACAAAGCCTTTTTTATCTATATATTTAGAAATTTCCTTTTTCTCCTTTTTTTTTGAATTTAAAATAAAAATTTCCTTTTAATTATCTATATTTTCTTTATTTAAATTAAATTTAAATTAAATTTAAATAAAAAAATTCGTAATTTAAGAAATTCTTCATTTAAAGTAATTCTTTATTTAAGAATTAAAAAAAAATCTTAATTCAAGTAATATGTAAAATATTTCAATTTTGTATTTCTTTTTTAATTAGCACTATTATTTTTTTTTGGTATAAATATAAAATTTATTAAATAAATTAAAAATAAGAACAAAAAAGTTTTTAATTTTTACTACTGTGGAATTTTCTTATGAATCAAGCCAATAGCGATAAGAAAAAAAAATCTATTTTTGACAAAATGCTTTTCACTTTTTTCAAGAGGTAAAAGTTTCGCAAATGCAATAAATAAACAAACATTTAATAAGAAAAAAAATATTATTGTCCAATTACGACAGTTTTCCTCAAGGAGAATCATTTTGAGTGGATATAAATTGGAAAAATTATTTATCATGAACAATTTAATTCTCTTTTTGCTGAAGTATTTTCATTTCTATTTACATTTCCCAAAAAGGTAAAAATTTCTAGTTAACGCTTCTTTTTCTTTCAAAAAATTTTTTCAATTTAAATTAGAACTACTTTATTGAATTTTAAATAATAAACTATTCAAGTTAATTACATTATTAAATTTTCAAATTATAATTTATATTATTCAATTGAACTAAATTGATAAATTTTTAAATTATTATTTGAAAATTATTATTTTCCTTTAATTTTGAAAATAAAAAAAAAGAAATTATAAATTATTATTCAATTCAATTGTATTAACAAATTTTCAAATTATTATTTGTATTATTACATTGAACTAAATTGATAAATTTTTAAATTATTTTTTAAAAATTATTATTTAAAACTTATTATTTTCCTATTATTTATTATTATTATTTACTAAATTTTAAGTTTAATTAGTTTAATTAAATTAATTAAATTTATTTAGTAATATTTTTTCTAATTAATTTATTCAGATGAGATATTTTATACATTTTCTCGTAATTCTTGGACTTTTGGTCATAACTATAAGTGGTCAACCCTGTAGACGAGAAGGCTTTTCTGTAAGTATAAACAATATTTTTAATAAACTATTTATTTTCACATCAAATGATTAATCGAGAATAAAAAAATAATTATTTTTATCAATATTATTAATAATTTAGTAAAAAAAATTTTTTTCGAAAAAACATTTTTTTTATTATTAATTATTCATTAAGAAACTTTAATTTTGAATGACATATTATTTTTTTAAGTGCGTTGCCACTCGAGAATGCTGTGCTTCTCTTCAATGCAGCATCCAAGATCGCAAATGCTTAGGACGATTTACGTGTCGACAATTGGGACAATATGTAAGTGAATATAATTTTTTGGATAATTTTACTATTATAGATAATTTATTAATTAAGGATCAGTTGTTCCTCTCTATTATTTTTTGATTTATTAAATTTTATTTATTTATTTTTATCTATTATTTAATACAATTAACTCTATTTATTGTAAAAATATGCTAAAAATTATTTACATATATTAAAATTTAAAAAAAAAAATTTCCTTCATTTCTCAGTGTACTAGCGATGTAAATTGCTGTAGTGGTCTTCGTTGTCATCAACTAAGGCAAAGATGTGTTAGAGCCGATGAAATTTGTCAAAAATTGGGACAAACTGTAAGTTTCAATAGAAAAAAAATTGAATCTTGAATAAAAAAATTTTTTATTTATATAAACAGATTTATTTCTAAAAAATAATATTTAGGAAATAAAATAAAAATTTAGAAACAAAGTGTATTAATAAAAAAATAATATTTAGAAAACAAAATATTTAGGAAAAAATTTAATTCTAAAAAAATTATTTAGAAAATTCAGTAAATGTTTAAAAAAAAAAGTTTATTTATTAATGTTTTTATAAATATTAATTATTTATAAAAATAATTTATTAAAAAATTAAAAATATTTATTTTTTTAGTGTGATCCTTTTAATCGATGCTGTTTTGCTATGAGATGCAGTTTGGGCCGATGTGTATATTAATTTAATGGATGTATCATAATAAAAAAAATTGTAATTTTGAAAATTACAAATCTGCGTTACAAACTTTTTAAATAAATTAATACGCTAAAAATTTACAGAGCCTTTTGTATCTATATTCAGAAATTTTATTTTCCTCCTTTTTTTGAATTTAAAATAAAAATTGTTTTTTAATTTTTTTATATTTTCTTTAGTTAATAAATAAAAAAAAATTCATATAATTTAAGTGATACGTAAAATATTCGTCTTATTTAAAATTAAAATAATTTTTTTCAGGAAAAAAAAAACTTTTTTTAGAAACTGTTGCTGGCATCATTTAGTTACAGTAATAACTAAATTATCACTGATAAAAAAAAAAGTAATCATTAAATTTCAAAAGTTTTCCTTATGTGAATCATTTTAAGCGAATATAAATTTCGTAAAATATTTTTTCAGAATTATTTTCATTTAGAGATTGCTTCTAAGAGACATCAGTGAAATTCTTAAATACAAATCTTTTATATTTTTTATTGAACTAAAGATTATTTGATTTGATTTGATTTTTTTTTTTGACGCTATTTGAAGAAATTAAGATGAAATCTTCACTAATTTTATTATTCTGCGCTGGAATTTTTATTGTTCTTGTCAATGGACAAGGTTGTGCCCGCGAAAACAGACCCGTAAGTTTTGAAGTATTTTTTACCTTAATTATTTTTTTAATTTTTTGTTTTCTGAAAGAAACGATAAAGTTTGCTTATTTTTCAATTTAAAATTGGACTAAAAATTCAAAATAAATAAATTTAATTAATTTTTTCAATTTTTTAATTAATTTTTTAATTTTGCTTACTTTTTAATTTAAAATTGGACTAAAAATTCAAAATTTCGATTTTTAAGTGTGAATACGATCAACAATGTTGTGCGAATCTCGAGTGTAATAATTGGGACAAGAGATGTCAACAACGTGGCAGATGTCAAAGATGGGAGCAAAGGGTAAATTTTGAATTCTACCTATTTTTATGTTTTCAAAAAGATATTTTGGAAAAAAAAATTGTATAAAATTTTTTTTTTCTAAATTGAATTTGTAAATTAATATTTTCGATATTCGCAGTGTAATCAGGATTCGGATTGTTGCCATGATTTGCGCTGTAATCCATCTAATAAAAAGTGTATAAGGAGAGAAAATGATTGTCAACCACAGGGACAGTTTGTGAGTAATGAAAAAAAAATTCGTATTTATTAAATTCTTATTTATTTTCAATAACTAAATTAATTTATTTATTTGTTCTTGAAAAATAGAAAATACAAAATAAAATAATTATAAAAAATAAAATATACAAAATACAAAATAATTATAAAAAATAAAATAGACAAAATACAAAAAATTAGAAAACTAAAAAAAAATTTGATTTTATTTACAGTGCGCACTTCGAAGATGCTGTGGAGGTTTAAGATGTATCGACAGCAGATGCGTTCGTTAAAAAAACGCAATATAATTTTAAATCATTATTATTTTATTCATTAAATTCTATTTTATAATTTGTATTTTTCAATTTCAATCACAATTATTGTTTACAATTTTACTTCATAATAAAATTAATTCATATTTTTTTAATTTCTATTTTCAATACTTATTTTTAATTTCCGGTAATTTAAAATTTTCTCTAATTTTGTTAAAATTCATTATCGATTATAAAACAATGTTTTCTTTTTAACATTGTATACCGAGTGAAGATAGGAAATGTTATTTTATTGATAATTTGAAAAATATCTAAACAGGAAAGAAATATTTATTATTTAAAATATTTTATTTATTTAGGTATTTATTCATTTAAATAAAAGTATATAAAATACCTACATTTTTAAGGTTAATTAATTTCTATTTTATACTTACTATGTACAATGGATGCACTAAAAAATACGAGACAAATATTAAAAAGAAAATTGTTTTTAATTTTTGATTCGTAAAAAACAAAAAAAAAAAAAATTAATTCGAAACAAACATAATATTCTAAAAAAAAATTTCCTTGTGAATCAAGCTAAACAAAGGTTCCTGCACGAGGAAGCAAAATGATAAGAAATTTTTTTTATTGTCAAATTGTTTTTAATTTTTCTTCTGCTAAATTATAGTGAATGCAATAAAATGATAAAAATTTTGATAAAGAGGAAAAAATTAAGGTTACATTACAAAAAGTTTTCCTTAAAGAGAATCAGTTTGTGTCGGTATTAAGTAGGACATTTATAATGAACAATTTTGTTTTGTTCTTTGAAGTGAAATCACTGAAGTGAAATCACTAAAGTGATTTCTCTGCAACTTATACTTTTCGAAATGGTAAAAGTTTATACTCAACGATATTTTTAATATATTCAAAAAATTTTCCAATTAATTTAATTAATTTAATTTAATAAATCTACGTTTATTGAATTTATTTAATATATATTAAATTTATTTATTTAAATAAATCAATAAATATATAAATCTAATTAATTGAATATATTTAATAAATATTAAATTTATTTATAAATAAATATAAATAATAAATAAATCGAATAAACTGAATTAATTTAATAAATCTAATATAATTCAATTAATTTAATTTATTCAGATGAAATTTTCAACACAATTTCTCTTAATTGTGGCACTTTTGTCTATAATTGTTAATGTTCAATCCTGCAAACTTGAAGGCTTTCCTGTGAGTATAAAAAAAATTGTATTCTTAAAAAAAATATTTTTTAAAAATTTGTTTCTATTTTTCAATAAAAAAGATTTAAATTTAAAACATATTTATATTAGTTAATAATTGAAAAAAATTTTTGTTACATTAAAAATATCTTTTTTTTTTTTCTTTTTTCAAGTGTTTAAGCACTACAGAATGTTGCTCTAATCTTCGATGCAACCCACGAGACTTCAAATGCCGCAATCCATTCTCTTGCCAGGGTTTAGGACAATTTGTAAAAAAATGAATATAATTTTTGGAAATTATTTAAAAATAATATTATATTAAATACTATCATTATAAATATATTAAAAATTATTAAAAAATTTTAGATAACAAAAAAAAAATCCCACACAACATTAAAAAAATTTTCATTAAATTAATAATTTTTATTTATTCTCTGAAATTAATTTTTTTTTTTAATGAATTACTTACAATTGTTGTATAATAAAATTAATTTTAATTTTATTATAATTAATTTAATATTATTATAATTTTAATTTTTTTTAATTAATTAATTAATTAATTAATTAATTAAAACAATAAAAATAGTGTTGGTAATAAAAAAAATTTTTTTCTTAGTGTATTAGCGATATAACCTGCTGTACTCCTTCCCGTTGTCATCCAGATCGGCAGAGATGCGTCAGAAGCATTGATGGTTGTCAACAATTAGGAGATTTTGTAAGTTTACAAAAAAATAAATTTTAATAGAAAACAAAATTTATTTGAAAAAATATATATAAAAATATTTCTAAAAATTACAATCAAATAAAAATATTAATATCAATAAAAATGATTTATGAGAATAATAGTAAATATGTTAATTATGTTAATAAAATTATGTTAATAAAATAACATGCTAATAGTAGAACTTAGAACTAATTACGTTAATGAAGATAATTATTTTAATAGAAACAAATAATATTAATAAAAATATTAATATTGGCGATATAAATGTTTATATAAATATTATTTATTTACATTATTGATGTTAATAAAAATATTAATATTAACGAAAATAATTATGTTATTAAAAATATTAATATCAACAAAAAGAATTTTTTCATAAAAATATTAATAAAAATATTAATTTTAGTTGTTTTATTCTTTTTTTTTTAAATATTTTAAGTGCGATGGCGGTTTACGATGCTGTTCTCCTTTGACATGCAGAAGTGACCGATGTATTATTGAATCTAGTCCATAGTTCAAAATAGAAAATTATGTAAGTTCAAAAATAACAAAAACTTCTTATAATTGTAATTTTTTCAAAAATAAATACATTTTATTATTTATTTTCTCGCAGAAACAAGCAAATGAAATTATTATTTCTACAAATACAGTCGAAAAAAGTAGATATAAAATGTATTTAAATAATAAATTCAGGCACGAATCGAATGAATAGAAAATAAATAATGTAAATAAAATATCTGTTAAATTTTTCTATGAGAAAAAAATACAATAAAAAATAAAAATTTTGTTATGATTATAATAAATTAAATTAGTATTAAAATACCTATTCCAAATTCCTATCATTTTTCTATCTACAAAAAAAAGTTAATTTTAATTTTAACTCTTTATAAAATATTGGAAAAAAAATGTTCTGTTAAACAGTAAAACTATCAACAAAATATAATTTGACTTTATTTTTATTCATTTTATTTTTATTTTGTAATTGAAAATAAAAAAAAGGAAATAATTTAAAAAGTCAAATTATAAATTATAAATTTATAATTTATAAATTATAAATTTTTTTTTTTTAGTAACAAAAATTTTATTTTTCGATTTTTTTTATTCAATAAAAAATAAAATTATTTTTATATTTTAATTTTTTACTGTTTATTTAAATATTTTATTTTTATTTTATAAATTGATTATTTTTTAACACATTTTTTCAAAATGGAACAAAATTGTTAGTATTTTGCGCTTTTATGGTCAATTTTATCGAAATATGGTATATGATAATAATAAAAGGTGAAAGATGTATTTGTTTATTTGGAAAAAAACTGTTTTTAATTAACATTCACCACCTGAGACGCGCCAAAAAATAATAAAAAACAAAAATTAACTGTTGATTAAAAAAATACGTTTGTTTGTTAAACATATAATTTCTGGTAAGTGGTAATATATAAATTTGGAGAAGAAAAATTTTTTTTTCAATAATCAAGTTTCGTTTTTTTGCAAAATAAGAAAAATACAGTTTAAGAATAAGGTAAGATTTGAAATTCAAATATTAATATAAACTATATTTTAATGTAATGAAAAATAATTTTAATTTGTAAATAGCATAAATTTTATAAAGAAGTTTTATTAATTATTATTTTATTATATTATTATTATTTTTTATTTATTATTGAGATGAATTTTATAATTAAATTAATTATAATTAGAAATATAGCTAAATATAGAAAATATTCACAGTCACGAAGACTCGAACCCCGAACCTTTTTTGACACAAATTCAGTGGCGAAGCCACTTAGCCATCTCACAAGTTAATTAATTATAATTAATTTACTACCGAAATTATTAAATAAATACAAAATTTGTAATACTTAGAACAAAATTTGTATAGTTATAATTAAATTATAATTATAATTAATTAATTATAATTTTTTTCATAAGAGTTTTTTTTCTGCTCGATAAATTTTTCGATAACAAAAAATTAATTTAAGGAAATAATTTTTTTTTTAGATGAAATATTGCATATTTTTGCTTCTGTCCATTGGACTTTTTGTCGTGAATGGTCAAGAATGCTCGGAGGATGGGCAACAGGTGAGTTGCAAAACTATAAAAAATCATTAAATACAAAAAATTAATTATTTAATATTAATAACAAAAATCTTCAAGATTTGTTACTGAAAAAAAAATATATTTAACAATATTTTTAAAAATTCATTTCATCAAATATGTACTTAGAGGGAAATATTTTTAATTTCAAGTGCGAAAATAATCGACAATGTTGTCGAAATCTGCGATGCAATGAAAGAAGTAATACCTGTGAAAGAAGAGACGATGGCGATGACTGCCGAAGAGAGGGGCGCCGCGTAAGTAAATAACAAACATAAATAAAAAAATAAATAACAAAATTTATAAATATATAAATAAATAAAAATAAATTTATAAATATTTATATTTGACTCGCTCCGAAGAAAGGAAGAAAGCTCTTTAAACAAATCATTTTAAGGTTATGTTTATGTTATTTTTACGTTAATTAAAAATTTATGTTTAATTGCCTAAAACTAAAATCCTTTTTATTAATTTTTCATTAATAATAAAATAAAATAAAATTTAAAAAAAAATTATTTTTAATTTTAAGTGCGAAAATAATCGACAATGTTGTCGAGATCTGCGATGCAATGAAAGAAGCAATAGATGTGAAAGAAGAGATGATGGTGATGACTGCCGAAGAGAAGGACGCAGAGTAAGCAAATTAAAAAAAAAATTTAACAAAATTTTGTAAATAAATTATAACAAAATTGATTAAGATTAGAAAATTTTAAAATTCTGTTTTAAAATTATATTTTAAAATTATAATTACAAATTTTAATTTTTCAAATATATGTTTGAACATTTCTCCTATAATTTGAATATATGACAAAAAATATTTTTAATTTCAAGTGCGACAATAATCGCCAATGTTGTCGAGATTTGCGATGCAATGAAAGGAACAATAGATGCGAAAAAAGAGATGATGGCAAAGAGTGCCGAAGAGAAGGACATCGAGTGAGTTAATTGATAATAAAAATAATTTAATATAATTACAATTAATTTAATAATAATAATTAATACTTTTGAATTAAATTTAATTTATTTTTGAATTTTTTTTAAATAACATTTTGGGCCATATTTCGAAGTAATATTTTTATTCAATATTTTTGAATTAATATTTCTGAATTAATATTTTTGAATAACTTTCGCATTAATATTTTTAAATTAATTTTTCTAATTCGTATTATCATACGTCGTATAAAACAATATAAATAAAAATAATATAACAATTGTTATAACAACTGTTTTTAAAAAATATTTTTAATTTCAAGTGTCGTGACGATCGACAATGTTGCCGAAATTTGCGATGCAACGAAACGAATCGTAGATGTGAGGGAAGAGACGAAGATTGCCGAAGAGAAGGACAACGAGTGAGTTAATTACTAATTAGAAAATTTTATTTATCAATTTTCTTATTCATTTTTTTGCCAATTTTTAAATGTATAAATTTTTAAATGTTTTTTTTTCAGTGCCGAAATCAAAATTGCTGTCGTCGTTTAACATGCAATAACGACCGTTGTGTCCGTGATGATTGCCGCTGGTTGGGAGAAAGAGTAAAATATTTATTTATAAAACAATAATTTTTTTGTGAAAAAATCAAAAATATACAAAAAAAATAAATTTAATTTATTAAAAAAAATTAATTGTTTTCAGTGTGAGGATAACAGGCAATGCTGCACACTTTTGAGGTGCGATCGTCGTCAAAGGCGTTGTGCATGAAAAAAAAAAATTTCTTCTTAACGAAAATATTTATAAAACTAGTTTCTATGAAATTAAGAGTTTTATTATTTTTCTTCCAACTTAAAAGAAAATAATTGATTGAATAATTAAAGAAACAATTTGATTGATTACAAAATTATACAAATGAAAAAAAAATTGATTTATTATAAGTTTGTAAATGTATTTACTATTTAGAAATTTGTGTGGTTATTTAAATAAATTGTTTTAAACAATATACATATGGAAATTAATTTTTTATTCATTTCCCTCAAAAAGTGAAAAAAAATCAAAAAATTTTTTAAAAATTTCTTCGCCATTCTGGATCCGCCATTTTGAATTTTTAGAAACTGACCTCGAATTCGTAATTAAAATCTCCAGGAACATGTTTGGCTTTCAAAAATTTCCTCCTCCCTTTCCGAGGGCGTGAAAGGGTTAAAAAAACTATTAATAATTATTTTAATTATTTCAATTATTTTTAAAAAATACAAAATTTTTTAAAACAAAATACACTAAACTAAATTATTAAAATTAAATAATATATCAATAAAAATAAATAAAATTCACGATATTGATAAAAAAAAAAAATTAATATTTAACTTAATTTCATTATAAAACATTTCAAAATGTTTGCCTAGAATGGACATTTTAATTAATCCTGGACTCATTTAATTTTTAAAAATATTTCTGTATTGATTTCTTTATTTTTTTTCATTTACTCTTTATAATTTTATTTATTTATTGTTTTCTTAATTTTATAATATAATTATATTTATTATATTTTTATTATTATTATTCTTATAAATTATGTACTAGAAATAAAAGTTGATTTACAAGAATTCCTTTCATTTCTTTACATTTTTTTTCCTAATAATTTACTTTCAATCAAAATTTAGATTTTCTTATGAATTTATTGTAAAAGTTTTTAGAAATAAAAACAAAAGAATTAAAATTTTGTTTGATAATTAAAATATCACTGAAAGTAAAACTATTCTTTTTCTAAACGACAAATTACTGTTCGATTTTTTTTAGAAAAGATTCTTCGAAAAAAATTATTATATTATTATTATTTGCAAAAACTAGGTAACAATTTATTCAAATTATGAAATATGTAAATGATACGTAAAATTAAAAAATTTCCAGAGAAAAAGAGAAAGTGAGAAATTTTGAAAAACATGTAAAACTAATACAATAAAAATTATATTGGAAAAAATTTGTTTTTTAAAATATTCGATTATTTACATTAAAACATTGAGAATATAATAAAAATATGTACATAATTACGAATTTGTAAACAAGGACAAAAATAATATCAACACTAAAAGAAAAAACAAAAAAACAAAAATTCATGATATTGATAAAAGAAAACAAAATTAATATTGAACATAATTTCACGAAAAAATTTCAAGACGGAAAATTTTTTTGAAAAAACATTTACATTTTTTAAAAAAACATCAACGTAATTTATATTTAAACAATAATACAAATGTTTAAAAGAAAAAAAAAATAATCTTACCCTTTTTTGTAAATGTATAAATTGGGAGAAATTTTCGATCAACGTCAATTTAAGTTTAAAAATTTTTTTTTTGAAAGAAGATAAGCAAGAAATAGAAAAAAAGAAAGGTAAATTTGTTTCAGTAACCATTAAAAAAAAATTTTGAATTTTTGTAATTACTTTTTAAAAAATCAGAATATTTTTCTGTAAATTTTAAGAAAATTTGTTTTTTTTTTAATTATTTTGAAAAAAAAGTTCATAGTTGTTAATTTTTAAATTAATTGACAATTTTAATTGAATTTTAAAATAGTTACAAAAATTTATTTAAATAGATGAAATCTTGCACTCTTTTACTTTTGTGTGTTGGACTTTTTGTCTTGGCGGTTAATGGTCAGCAATGTTCACGAGTAGAACAACGGGTAAGTTATTAATTTATAATTTTTCATTTGTTTATTAAAAAAATTTTTTTGCTATTACTTTTTTTTATTAATATTTTTTTTCCAGAAGAGTTAGTCTTCAATTTTTTCAGTTTTAATTTTCCATAATTTAAAAAAAAATCATATTAATTACTATTATTCTTATTATTAATATTTATTTAATACAATTTAATGTAAATATATGTAAATATATATTTGCTTAAATGTATAGAATATAAATTAATAACTATTAATTATTATTATCATTATTTACTGTCGAAAAAATTTTTTTATGATCCTTGGGTGTTGGGGGATCGAACCACTGATCCCAAACTTTTCCACTCACTAATTGATGTGCCTTAACGACTGCGGCTATCGCCAATTAAAAATTTTAGTTAATATGCTTTAGTATTAATTAATATTTATAAAATATTATTAACTATTAATTAAATATAAATTTATAATTAACTTTTTAAAAATAATTTTTATGATAATAAATATTAAAAATGTAAAATTAAACAATTTTTTTTTACTTTTAGTGTCGACAAGATCGTGATTGTTGTGAGAATCTCCGATGTGGTGATAGAGGGAGATGTGCGAGACTAGGACGCGATTGTCGAAGGGAAGGTCAAGAAGTATGATAAATAATTAACCTCATTACTTTATGAAACGATGATTAATTAAAATTCTAATGCATTTATTTTTTTTTCTATTGCTTAGTGTCGGGACGAGTCAGAATGTTGTCCAAATTTCCGCTGTAATATAAGGAATAGAAGGTGTGAGAGAGGAGCAGATACCTGTCGAAGAGAAAATCAAGATGTATGTACATAATAAAATTAATTAATTAATTAATAATTAAATTTAAAATTAATAAATTAATAAATTAATAAATAATTAAATTTAAAATTAATAAATTAATAAATAATGAAATTTAAAATTAATAAATTAATCACAAATTAATTAATTGTAATTTAATTAAAATTTTATCAATTAATTAAAAAGTGAAATAATTTTATTTGATAATAATAAAAATTGAAAAATTTATTTCTAATTAAATTTTAAATGTAATAATATAAAATAATTTAACATTTTTTCATTTAATTTAATAGTGTCGACGCGATGATCAATGTTGTGAAAATCTCCGTTGCGATGAAAGAAACAGGAGATGTGAAAGACGTGGCGATGGTGGAGATTGCCGACGACAAGGACAAGAGGTAAAAGAAAAAAAAACTCTTTTTTACTGAAATAATTTTCAGAAATTAAAAATTCTATTTAGTAGAATTTATGCAAAAAAAAAATTATTCAAAATTTCTTTTCCAGTGTACCAGAAGTAGAGAATGTTGTAGGGGTTTGAGGTGCGGTGAGGAAAATCGTTGCGTTCAGGGCAGTTGCGGTTGGTTAGGAGCGAGGGTACGCATTTTTTTTTTAAATTAATTTTTATTTATTCTAATTATTTTATTAATTTTTATTAAATTTCAGTGTGAAGACGACCGTCAATGTTGCAGTCTCTTAAGATGCGATCGTACTCAAAGTCGTTGTGTTTAAAAACGAATATCACTTGAGAAACGTTTACCTGGAATGGACATTTTTATTCATCGATTTACTTAATTATGAAAAATTTTTCTATAATGATTTCTTTATTTTGTAACTAATTCGTAAATCAGAAAAACGAAAGAAAAAATTAAAATAAATTATCAACTTCTTGAAAATATTCTCTTCAATGAAAGTTTCAAATTCTGTTCTTCACCATACCCTTTAAAAATTGAAACAAATTAAAAGTATTAAATATTTAATTTAAAAAGAAAACAAATAAATTAATATCCTTAGTTTATATTCATTAATTAATATATAATTAATTACTATATTCATTAACTAAGTAATTATGGCTAATTATTATTAATTATTAATTATTAATTATTAATTATTAATTATTAATTATTAATTATTAATTATTAATTATTAATTATTAATTATTAATTATTAATTATTAATTATTAATTATTAATTAATAATTACTATTTAATTTTATATATTCTTTATTTATTCTCACTGCTATTATCATTATTTTTATATATTTTTCTTCATTTTTCATTTTACAAAACATTAGAAAAAAATAGTATAATTAAAAATTTATAATAAAATGATTAAAAAGTAAAAATAGAAGGCAAAACTAAAAAATAAGTATAAAAAAAGGAAATTGTATTGATAAAAAACAGTAAACAATTTAATAGTAAATATAATAGTAAATAGTGAATAAAAATATAAACATAATAAAATAGTAAATTATAAATAAAAATAGTAAATAAAATAATATTAAATAGTAAAGAAAAATATAAAATAATATAATAGGAACCATTTATTTCATCTACCAACTTTATTAATTAATTACATAATTATAGATATCGATATTATTATGATTGATTCAGTGATATGCAGATAATTTTATAATCTCTTTATATTTTTCTAAAAGATAGGAAAAAAACTTACTCTATACATTCAAATTTTTTGCATTAATTTTTTTTTTATTTATTATTTAGTCTAATTTTTTTATTCTTCGTATAATATATACATTTTATTTATATTAAAATATAATAAACAATTGGAATTCTAAAGTCCATTTCGAGGTCCATTTTAGATCAATTTTACTTAAATATTAATAGTTTTTTAATTAATAATTTTCAGTGATAATTAATAATTAATTTAATTAGTGATATTTCTCATTTTTTCAATTATGTAAAATTTTCAAAAATTATATGAATAATATTTTTTTGTTTATTCTATTATAATATTCATTTATTTCTTAATTCTATTTTTTATTTATTCATTTATTTTATGTTTTTTATTTATTTATTTATTTTATATTTTTTCCTTTACTTCCTCTAATTTATTTTCTTACAAATTTCACTTATTTTATTCACCTTTTATTTATTTAGTTTTTCTATTTATTTAATTTAATTCAATGTCGTATTAATTTACTTTTTATTTATTTAATTTTACTATTTATTTCATTTATTTGATTTTTTTTTACTTTTTATTGGACTGTTTTATTTATTTACTTTTATTTTATTTGTTTATTAATTTTTATACATTTAAATTTTTTATTTTTTCCAAAATTTGCTTCCGAATTTGTGATAAATTCTTCTAAATGAATTGAGAGAAGAAGACAAAGTTTTTGGAGTATTTTTTAAAAACAGTTTGCAATGTAACGACGATTATTATCAAATTTTCTATCAATTACTTAATAAAACAAATATGACAAAAAAATTTAAAAAAATATAAAAATGGAATATTCCGTCTTTTTTCTTTTCTTTTTTGGTGAATTACATCGAAGAGGAAAATTTTGTCGATAATATTTAGTAATACTCGAAAAGGAAATGTATTATTATTTTTTTAACATATTTACACAAATTCCACTTTCCAACTTGTAATAATAAGCTAATGTTAATTTTTCCTTCGATAAGCATGTAAAATATTGATAATAACAATTAATCCAATGTAATGACCGCTGGATATTAAATTGAGGAAAGCGGACCTCCTCATGTATAAATGGTGTTAAATTTTATTTTTTCGCCAAACAATTTATATTGAATTCTTACTGGTGACAAGTTGTTTCAAATTTTCATTTCAAGTAAGCAGGAAAAATTTATCATCCTTTTCTTTTCCTTTTAAATTTTTATTTTAATTTTTGAAATAATACTTTTTTTCAATTTTCAGATGAAACACAACATTTTCCTACTGTTCTTTATGAGCAGTTTGTTCGTCATTTCATTTGCACAAGAAACGGCTGTTGTTGATGAAAAAAAATGCGTCGAAAATGGACAATCGGTAAGAAAATGAAAAATAAATTAAAATAAATAAATAAATAAATGAAGAGGAAAATAAAAAAAAATTTTTTTTTAATTTTAGTGTGATGCACAAAGAACATGTTGCAGGAACTTAATTTGTTCTCAAACGACGAATAAGTGTGAGAGACGACCAGCTTGTGTAAGAGAAGGACAGGACGTAAGTTTATAATAATATTATTAATATTTTAATAATTATTAATTAATTAGTTATTAATAATTAAATAAAAATACATTTTAGTACCAAAATTAATAATTAATTATAATTATAATAATTATAATTAATAATAATTAATAAAAATATATTTTAATAACAAAATAATTTTCTAAATAATATTTTTTGCAGTGCGATGCAAACAAAAGATGTTGCAGAAACTTGTCGTGCTCGACAACGACGAAAAAATGCGTGAAACGTCCAGCCACTTGTCGAAGAGTAAACCAATCCGTAAGTTTCGATTAATTATTAAAATATATATTTTATATTCACTTGAAAAATATTTAAAAATTAAAAATAGTATGAACAATAATACAAATCTTTTTTTTTAATTTAATATTTTATTATAAATAGTGCAGCACTAACTCGAAATGCTGTCGTGGTTTGAGATGTTCAACAAATACTAAAAGATGCGTACGACAATCTTGCCGAAGAGTTGGACAAACCGTAAGGAATTTTTATTAATATATTTATTTTTTTTATTTACTATTTATTTATTTTCTTATTTATTATTAATAAATTAATAAAAATTAATAATAATAATAATAGTAATATGTGAATAAATAAAAAATAGTAATAAAAATAATAAAATAATAAAATAACAATTAAGAATTAATCAGATAATTAATTAATTGATTCAAAAACTTAACAGTGCAGCAGCAATAGAAAATGCTGTAGTGGTACGAAATGTTGCGCAGTTACCAATAGATGCGTAAGAGACTCTTGTTGCCGCAAACAAGGACAATCAGTAAGAGAATCGCTCCATAAATAATTTATTATAAATAAATTTATTATAATTTTAAGAAACTATTCTAAAATTAAGGAAAACAATTTTAATTTCAAGGAAAATTTGTTTTTCAATTTAAAAAAAAATTATTTTAAAGAAATTTTGTTTTTAAATTGAAAAAACAATTATTTTAAAGAAATTTTGTTTTTAAATTGAAAAAACAATTATTTAAAAGAAATTTTATTTTTAAATTGAAAAAATAATTATTTAAAAGAAATTTTGTTTTTTAATTTCTATTATAAATAGAAAATTTTATTTTTTCAACATTTTCGTTTAAAAATTATTTATTTATTTCACTTTTTGCCTTTACAGTGCAGAGGAGCGAGATGCTGCCGAGGATTGAGATGTAACTGGTGGGCTCGCCGTTGTGAAAGCGAAGACTGTGGACGTTTGGGAGATGAGGTAAGATAAATAATTAATAATTTCTCTAATCTAATTAGCAAATAATAAATAATAAATAAAATTAAACGAATAATTAAAAAGAAAATCATTAAATCGTTGAAAAAAATTTCTTTTTTCATTTTTAATTAATTTTATAATATTTTAAATAAATAAATATTTCATAAAGGAAATTAAAGAAAATTTTCTCCTTCCAGTGCCGTAATAGTCGAGACTGCTGCACGGGAATGACGTGCAATAGAACAACTAATTGCTGTACGAGAAGACGTGACGACCCTGAAACTGATGCAGGCGAAGAGGAAGAATAATTATTGAAAATTTGTAAAATTAATTTTGAAAAAAAAAATAATATGACACGATTCGAAAAAAGGATCACGTTAAAATAATTAATTCTGAGTCACTAGGGCAACATTTATGTGTAAACTACTTTAATATTTAAATAAAGAGCCTCTATTAATTTCATGAAAAAATTATTTGATTCGTGTTAAACATTTTATTCGTCCTGAATATTTTTTTTTATTTATTTTCAAATGAGATTTCATAAAAACGAAGATTTATTTTTCTTTTTGATAAAATAAAACTAGGTAAAAAATAATTAATAATTATAATTAAAATAATTAATAATAATTATTGATTAAAATAATTAATTAAAATTACAATTAAAATAATTTTTTATTGTTAATTACAATTCTTATAATTAATAATTGCTATTGTCGATAATTCCCATAATTTTAAATTATTATAACTCAATAATAGTTGAAATAGAAATTTAGTTTGAATTTCGCGCCATTATTAAATCCGACAGATGACAGATTTTTTCATAAAAAAATATAATGTCTTGGATTATCTTTTTTTTTTATTTTTTGCGAATTCTGTAATAATTTCTTTAAAAATTGTCCCATGGAATAAATTATAAATAAAATTATAATTATTATAAAATATTGTGTGAATATAAAAAAAATAGAGAAAATATTTAAACAAAACATTGTTAGTCATAACTGTCAATTGTTTCACTTGGTTTAACTAATAACCACCAGTAAATATCTAGTAAATAATTATGTAAATTAATTTTTCTATTAACATCAGTAAAAATCTGATAAATAATTAATTAAATTAATGTTTTATTAACACCAGTAACAAATTTATAAGTAATTGATTTTTTTATTAACACCAGTATGTAATAAAAAATTAATTAAATTAATTATTCACTGCAATCAATAATAATTTTAAAAATGACACAAATTTTACAGAAATTTGATATGAAAATTTTTTGTGAGTATTGTTATTCAAAAAATAAAATTTTTAATTTGATATAAAAATTGAAATTCATTACTTTTTACCAGAAAAAAAATCCACTTCTTATAAAATTATAAAAACGAAAAAATTTTAAACTCGAGGAGTATTAAAAATATATCCTTTATTGTTCAATGAAAATTCTTAAGTATTCTTTGAATTTAGTAAACGATATTCACACATCAATCTTTAAGACAATTGGATTGAATCTCGATATAATTAATTACAAATTAATCCTCTTTTTTTATTTATTGCTTCGAGGAATTTGGACTTTTCTCATATATATATAATGAACAATTTGTGTATTTTCTAGAAAGTAATAAATTTTTTTTTCAATTTCAAAACTTTCTTCCAAGTGATTTATCAATTAAAGAAGGTGAAATATATTTTTCGTTTGAATAAAAAAAAATTCTTTTTCTTTTCCCAAAATAGTCAAAAAAAAAATGTTGAAATTTTTCTAAAATAAATATTAAAAAGTAAAAAGTTTGTTTCTTTTTTCAAATTTATATTTTTTTTTATCACCTACTGTAGAGTTAGTTGAAAAAATTAAAATTTCAAAAGTTTGTATATTATGGCATTTTTGAATTAATTTTGTGTTAAATATTGTTTAAGAAATGAGGAATTGTACTTTATTGCTGCTTTACATTGGATTACTAATCGCCGTTTCCTATGCGGACGAAGTAGAAAACGAATCAGTTCAATACGAGGTTCAAGAACTTGATTCAGAATTGTTGGAGAATATATTATTTGGAAGATGCCGCAGAGAAGGCCAGGACGTAAGTAAAGAAATAAATGAATAAATAAAAAATAAACAAATAAAATAAAAAAATAAAAATAAGAATAAATAGAAAATTAGAAATACAAATAAAAATAAAAAAACATAAATGTGATTAAATAAAAATAAGAAATATTCACCTAAGGAAAAGATCGATTTGAATTAAATATGTAATTTACTTGGTTTGAATAAAAGAATATTTGTCTTAGAGTTCACTAAATTATTTATTTGTTATAAATAAAATAAAAATTTTTTCAAATAAAAATTTTATTCTTCACAAATAAAATTTATAAAGAAAATTTATTTCAAAACAAATAAAAAATCTATCTGCTGAGTCAAATATATCTTTTCCTGAATGGAAATGAAAATAAATAAAAATTATAATAATAAGCATTTAAATAAAAATTTATTTGAGATATTGAAACTTAAAACAAAATTAAAAAATGAAAATTAGTAAAAATTAGTAAAACCAAGAAAGACAAAAAAAATAATTTTTTGATTTAGATTCAATTCCAATTAATTAAGAAAACGATAAAATGAGTAAATAAAACATTCTACATAATTGGAGTATTAAAAAAATTGAACAATTAAAATAAAAAAATTTTTATTTAAAAAAAATTTAATTTAATTTTCTAAATTAAAATAAATTAATATTTATAATTTTTTTTTTGTAATAGTGCACTAAACGTAGATGTTGCTGGAGATTGAAATGTGACAATGCGACAAAGAAATGTGCGAGGGAACCCTGCAAAAAGGAAAATGAAGCAGTAAGTATTTTTTTCCATTTAATAATAAAATTATACTTTTAACAATTTTTTTTTTATTTCTCAATTTTTTTGTTTTTAGTGCCGAATAAGTAGTCAATGCTGCAAAGATCTGAGATGTTGCAACAGACGAAATAGATGTGTAAAGAAGGAACCCTGCAAAAAGGAAACTGAAGCTGTATGCATTTATTTATTCAACAATAAAATTATACATTAAATAATTTTTTTTTTATTTACAAATTTTCTGTTTTTAGTGCCGATTAAACAGTCAATGCTGCGAAGGACTGAGATGTTCCATAAGACAAAGGAAATGTGTAAAGAAGGATCCCTGCAAAAAGGAAACTGAAGCTGTATGCATTTATTTATTTAACAATAAAATTATACATTAAATATTTTTTTTTCTTATTTACAAATTTTCTGCTTTTAGTGCCGATTAGACAGTCAATGCTGTAAAGGACTGAGATGTTCCATGAGACAAAGGAAATGTGTGAAGAAGGATGCCTGCAAAAAGGAAAATGAAGCAGTATGTATTTATTTTTAACAATAAAATTATATTTTCAATAATTTTTTTCTTATTTACAAATTTACAAAATTATATTTTTAACAAGTTTTTTATCTTCCGATTCTTTCTGTTTTTAGTGCCGAATAAATAGACAATGTTGCGAAGGAACGAAATGTTGCAAAAAACAAAAGAAATGTGTGAAAAAAGCAGAATTCATTCCTGAAGATTTTATCCAGAATATCGATTTTGAAGAGGACTTCGATGACCAGGAAGATTTTGAAGATGAATTTTAAATTGCAATTGCAATTGCAAATTATTGCTTCAATTTACGATGACTCTTGGAAGAATAAAAACTTTGACATATATTTTAAAGAAAAATAAATTTTTCTATTGCATATTTAACAGAGTTTATTTTATTAATCAAATTATAATAACTATTTAATTTTACCTAGAAAGTAAAAATAAGGGGACAGTTTATCATTAAACTATCAATATACTTAAAATAACATAAAATATGTAAAATAAATTTTATCTCAAAAGATAATTGTAAAAAAAAATTTTCTCAACTGAGAAAAAAAATTTTTTTAAATTAAAAAAAAGAATTAGGAAATTTTAAAAAATAATTTTCATAGTTAAAATAAATTAATAATTTAAAATAATTACAAAATTAATAATAAAGTAAACACACTTTCTAGTAGAGCGCTATATCTTTTTAAAAAATTATAATTTTTATACGAAATTTCAAAATTTATTTTTTAATAGGTATTTATTTTTAAATTATTAAATTATTATTTAATTATTTAATTATTTTAATTATCATTTAATTATTTTTTAAAAGAAACAAAAAAAATTTTAAATCATTTTTACTACTCACAAATAAAAACGAAACTGTCTGGAATTTTTGTTCATTTTCGGAGTTAATTTTACAATACGTTCAAAGTAAGTTTAAATAAAAATTAGTAAAATTTACTTTGAACGTATAGTAAAAATTTCGAAAAGAGTAAAAGTTACTTCTTATTTTTCCTTCTCTGCTCTTTAAATTTGAAAGCTTTTAAATTTTTTTTATCTAATTTAAAACTAATAAAACTTCTTTGCTTTTTGATTTGGACAAATTTTTTATTTTTATCAAATTCGAATTATTATTATTATTATTATTATTATTATTATTATTATTATTATTATTGTTATTATTGTTAATTATTATAGTACTGATAGTAAATAGTAGTATTGAAAAAAATACAAATGATATTATAATTATATCTTATTATTAATAATGATTATTATTAATTACTATTAATAATCTATTACTTACATTAATAGATTACTAATTATCAATTAACAAAAAAAATTGTGCGAGAATAAAATATTTATAAGATTAATAAAAATAAATATATTTTGTATGTGTAAAATTGATCAAGAGGGTTAAATTTGGATCCCTAGGTGTTAATTTAAAAAACACTGTCTTTCAAAATAAATAAAAAAAAAAAAAAATTAATAAAAAAACTGCTTTAAAAATGTTTTGAATTAAAAGAATACTTCTTTCCTTCAATCAAAATAAGATTTTATTTTTTCAGTGATATTTTAATTTTCCTCTTTAATTTTAATTTAATTTCCTCTTTAATTTTCCTCTTTACAAACATCTGCTTTAAGTTTATACATAATTATCCAGAAATATAAATCTGTAAATATTTTGTGACTTTTAAATTAAAGTTGAAAGAATTTTTTTTTAAATTTTGTTAAAAATTAAAAATTTTATTTAAATATTATCACTGCTAAAATTTCTTAGTAATTATAATAATTTTATATTTTTTGACAAATACCCGTTTAATAAAAAAAATAACTTACATTTAAATATTTTTACAGCCAAAAACTAAATTCAATTCAAAATTAATTAAATTTTCTTTTAAATTTTAATTTTAGAATGTAATAATTGATTGTACTGTTTAAAAAAAAATAAAGAAAAAATTCACATCACTCACTAACTCAGTGAATTTTCACTTTGATATAAATTAATTAAAATTTCCCCGCAAGTAATTTCTTTCATTTTTATATTTTAATATTTTCTCAATAATTTTTTCAAATAAACGGAAAAAATTCACCGAAATTTATAGAGGAAAATTTTCCTCAAAATCTATTGAATAAAAATTTTCAATTTTTTTGTACCATTTTTTTTTTACAATATTCTATTCAATTTTCACTAATAATTAATTAATCACAATTATATTCTAAATAAAAAAAACTAATATTAAACTAAAAATATTAAATCTTTTTAACAAACAAAAAAAAAAGAAAAATTTTGTTTGTCACCTATTTCATGAATAATTCAGAGTGATACAACAATTTTATTTTGTCATTAATGATAAATATTTTTAAGATTCAAAGATAAGTTATGCACCAGAAGATAATGAAAAAATTAAAATTGCAAAACATTTGCAAAATAATTGATCGTTTACGATAGTGATCAGAATATTAATCGTAATATAATCAAATTTTTCGTATTTTTTATCAAAATTTAAAACGGATTTTCGTAAGTATAAATGGACCAGGGGATCGTTTATTCAGCATATCAGTTTCTTCTGGAGAAACATCAGGTCCTCCAACAGCAAACGGTAAGAAAATTCGAATTTTTAATAACACTTAATAATAATTATTAATCATTAATATTAATTTAGTAACAAAAATATTAATTTTTTTAAAACCGTTTTTTATTTACTTTAGAATAGAAACTCCTAAATAATCAGATTTTTTCCTTACAAAATTATTAAAAGTAAAATTTATAGTAATAATAATAATAAAAAAAATATAAATATTTATAATAGTTAAAATATTATAAATTTATAATTATTATTAATAAATAATAATTATAATATTTTAATTATAACTTATTAACATTGTAACAAAAATAATTTATTACTATATTAATACTCTGGTTATTTAGTATAAAATTGCAACGAATTGATATTAAAAAAGTAGATACAATCAGAAATTGATCTAAATTTTTATCATCAATTTAATTCACTTTTAGTATCAATTTGATACTTTCAAGAAAACTGTGATAATAATAATTTATAATAAATATAATATTATTAAATCAAGAAATAAATTAATTTCAAAAGAATTTGGAATAATTTTTTGAATATAGTTGAATTTGTTAAGGTTTAACGATTTTTTTTAAATTAATTAAAAGGAAAATTTATTTTGTCCACAGGTTTGAAAAGGAAAAAAATGAAGCTTTGTACATTTTTACTTTTGTGCATTGGCGCCTTCGTGGTGGCCACCTATGCTGAGGAATCAGTACAGGAATCAGTACAGGAATCATCTGAAGAATTAACATCAAATGAACTTGATTCTGAGTCTGACGAAAGTGAACTCGACGCCGAATTCGAATCAGAAGAAGATGAATCTGATTTTGATCTCGAATTAGACGAATTTGCCAGAAGATGCCGTAGACGTGGACAAAGAGTAAGTTTTTTTTTAAATTTCACTAAAAGAAATTAGTTAAAAAAAATATAATAGTTATTTTAATAAAATTGTTATTCTAATTATTCTAATATTTAATAATATAATAAGCGTAAAATTATTTTTTTATTATTAACTAATTCGTAAAGTAATTAATATTAATTTATAAACTAATTAATACTAATATTAATTAATTAATACTTTTAATAATAAAAAAGTAAAAATTAATTAACACAAATATTGAATGATAATTAAATGACCAATTAATATTTTTATTATATTATTATATTATTATTATATTATATTATTATATTATTATAATTATATTATTATTTTATTATTATTATTATTTTTATTTTATTTTTTTTTTTTATTTTAATTTTCATTTTTTTATTTTACAGTGCGATAGGCGAAACCGTTGCTGCCGTGGACTGAGGTGCAATCGTCGTTCAAGGACGTGCGCAAGACGAGGAGGTGGAGGTTCAGGTGGGAGTTGCCGAAGACAAGGACAAAGCGTAAGTTTTTCTTTTTGGAAAAAATAAAAATGAATTAATAAATTGAAAAGAATTTGGGAAAAATGAAAAAAATTCTGAAATAAAAATTTTCCATCAGTGCAATCGCCAATCGCGTTGTTGCCGTGGATTGACCTGCAACCGTCAACAAAAATGCGAACGTCGCCAACAACAACGTTGCCGTCGTGAAAATGAAAGTGTACGTAAATTATTTCCTTTTTTTTGAATATTTACAACTATTTAAAATTTATTTTTTTTTTAATTTAATATTTTTTTTATTATTTCACATACTTTTTATTATTTTCAATTTTTTTTAATTCTTATTTTCTATTATTTTCTGTTTTTTATTATTTCTTATTTTTTATTATTTTATATTTTTCATTATTTCTTATTATTTATTATTTTATATTTTCACTATTTCTTATTTTTTTTTATTATTTTGTATTTTATTCACTATTATATATTTTTTACATATATTATATTTTATTTCTTTTTACATTTTTAAACTCTTTTTTGCGATTTTAAATTCTTTGGCATTAATTGATAATTTTTTTTTCTGCAAAAATTTTAGTGCGGAAATAACAGAAGCTGCTGCAGAGGACTGTTGTGCAACAAAAAAGACAGACGTTGCCGTCGTAGGAACGAAATGCTTCCAGAAGAATATATGGACGATGTTGTCAGTGCCGAGGAACAAATGGAAGAAACTGAAAACTAATTTGGAAAAATAATCGACAATTGCCAACAAAAAATTTAGATCAATTCTACCTTCTGAAAATGTAAACAACAAGAACAAAAAAAAAAAAAAAATTAGTAAACAAAATTAAATAAAAATAGCATTGAACATCAAATTTACAATTTTTTATTTTAAAAATTGCCCATCCAACCCTTTGAATATTAAATCTAATTCTTTGTTTTTTTAACGTTTTTCTACTTTTTCCGTTTTTTTAAAAAAATTTTTTCCATATTTTTAATAATTTCTGTTTTTTAAATTATTTCTGTATTTTAAATTTTTTCTGATTTTCTAATTCTTTCTGTATTTTTAATAGAATAAAAAAAAATATTTTTATAAAGAAAATATCAGTAAATAAAGAAAAGAAAATAATGAAGAACGTAAATAAACAGATAAAAAGAAGAAAATTAAAGAAAAAATTTTTAAAAAACGAAGAAAATAAATAAATGAAATAAGGAAAATAGAAAAAAAATAAAATAGGGAAAATAAATAAAGTGGAGTAAATAAAAAAATAAAGAAAATAGAAAAAATAAATATAAAAAAAAATAAGGAATACAAATAAAAAGGACAATAAAAAAAAATAAGTAAATTAAGGGCTGTATAATTTATCAAATAAAAAAAATAAGTAAAATAAAAAATGAAAGAAGGAAAATAAAGAAATTAAATTAAAAATAAAATAAGGAAAACAGAGAAAATAAATAAAGAAAATAGAGAAAAAAATGAAAAATAAATTAAAGAAAATAGAAAAACAAAAAATAAATTAAAGAAAATAGAAAAAAATAAAGAAATGCTATAAAGAAAAAAAAATAAAGAAAAAAAATACTAAAAAGAAAATAATGAATTAGAAATAAATAAAATAAAAATTAAATTCAATGGAAAAATGAAATAATCTACAAATTGGAGACAAAGAGATGAAAAAGAATAATTAATAGAAAGAAAATATAAAAAATAAATTATAAACATTTTTTTTTCTAAATAAAATGAAAATATTGTTGAATTGAAATTGAAGCGAGACGAATGATATTTGAATCGATTGAGTATATTGGCTGCTGTTAGGATAAAGCCTTTGAATGGTCAACAGAACCCCAGAGCATTAAATCAAGTCTTAGCCGCAGATCCAATTATCAAATTGTCCAGCATCGTCTGGCACTTGAGCCTATAGTTGTACAACCCTGAAGAAGTTACACGAGACACCAGGGCAGCCAAGTAGTATGCACCCAAGTACCGAGAGGGACAACAAACTTAAGGGTAGCAATAGATTTTAGCGACAAAACCGCGTAAGACAGCACGACACATCGGGTCTCAAGATTTATCACTTACATTTCCATCTCTTGAAAATCTCTCCATATATTTCACATTAATCTAATTATAGATTTTCCAAATTGCACATTTTGTGCATTAGTCATTTTTTTTTTATTTTTTTATTTATTTTATTATTTTTTTTATTATTATTTTATTATTATTTAATCAAATTTTATTGAAATTTTTCAAATTAAATTTTTTTGAAAATCTTAATTTTTCATACAACCAACAATTCTGTAGAATTAATTATTTTTATAAAGTTTAATTGAATTTTCTTCTGAAATTATTTTTAATTTATTATAAAAATTTTGCAAATAGTGAATTTTTTAAATAAAAATTTTTAAACTACAAATTTATTTATATGAATTTTATTATTTTCTTTCTACTTTTATTATAATACGATTTTAATTCGAGAAAATTCGAGAATTTTTTACAGAAAAAAATTTCTGCTAATTATAAATTTTCCGCTTATAAATTTTTCGATTATAAATTTATTCTCATGGCGAAAAATTTTAATTTACATTTTTGATATTTTTATTATATTATAAAATTCCCTTTTAAAAAACTTCAGACAATTGTTAATTGTTAATAAAAAATTTTGAATCTATTCTAATTTTTTTAATTTTAATTTTCAAACATTACTTCACAGTCATTAAAAAATTCTATTTTCGTCTTTTAATATTTTTGTTATATTTTTTTTTTTTGATAGAAAAAAATTTTTTTTTGTCAAATTAATAAAAAAAAACCAATTTCCGCCTACAGATGAAATTTTGTTTCCCATTCTTCACCCATAAGTTGAGAATTTTATTTATCTTTTTTAAGAGGGGAAATAGTATTCAGTCGACGGATATATAACTCGGGTGATATGAAGATTGCCTTCAAGTTTGATGTTACGGAGGTTTCCGGATGGCCTCTCAAGTTGAATCAAATCTGCGTCAAAGAAAGAGGCGACGAATCGTAAAATAAAACACGAGAGGCAGCAAAGTCCCTCGTAAAGAGCATCAACACAATTCTGAATTCGCGTATACACTTCATGTCGAACATTGTTTCGGCTATAAAAATAAAAAAAAAACTTAGTAAACTCATCCACAAACTGTTCAGGAAAAAACATCATTAAACATTACGCAAAAACTTTAATGCCACAAACTTTTCTGTAACGACTCTCTTTCTCTCTTTTTTATAAGTCGAATTACAAATTCCGGGGAAGTTTTTTTTTTATTTACGTGTATAAGAAATGAATAAAAAAAGTCTTTCTAATTTGAATTGAAAATCGATTATTTTATATTCGTTATTATTAATATTTTTGTATCTATATTTTGTGAATGTTTTGTAAATATTTTTAGAAATGTTTTAATAAATCTTTTTATATATTTTATTTATTTATTTATTTATTTAAGAAAAAATAATTATAATTTATTATAATAAGAAATAAATAGATAAATAAATAAATAAAAAAAAAGAAATATAAAATAAATAATAAATGAAAAAAATATGTAAGCAAATAAATAAATAAACGAAAAAAGACATAATAAATAAAATAAATTATTAAAATAAATAAAGAAAAAAAATAATAATACTTGTAGTAAATAGTAAATGAATATAAAAATAGATAAATAATAATTAAAAGAGAAAAAAATAGAAGAGAGTAATTAAAATATATTAAAAACGCTAAGCTTTAAAGCGCACACACATATATTAAAAACTTTTTGAGTCAATTAACGCTTTTCTAAGGGGGATTTTTAATTGGGAAAAAATAATCTTTGGAAAAAAAGATTTGAAAAGATTTTCTATTCATATAGATGAATATTCCCTGTAATGTTATCTAGGTAGAATTTTTTTCTTTCTTTCTTTCTTCTTCTGCTCCTGTTTTTTTTTTCAAATTTTGATGAAAGAAGATAACACAGTGTAATGACAAGTGAAAAACTTATTTAAAAAGGAAACGAGAAAGGATCACTCGCAACTTATAATTATCGCAATTAAACTAAGTGTGTGCGATGCTTTAACTGCCTTCGCAGCTCGAGCGTGAAGTTGTTCCGAGAGGGTAAAGAGTGTGGGTCTCGTTGCGGTTTCCCTTTGGAAACAAAAGTTTTTTTTTATTTTATTTTTTTTTTTACTTTGCTTGCCACTATACTTGCGTTTTAGTCGTGACCTTACTTTCTAAAAAAGTTGGAATTACGCGGAAAGTGTGAGACTGTTTTTTTTTCTTTCCTTTTTTTTAATACATTCTTTCAGTTTACTCGACACGACTTGTCACAAGGCTCGTTACGAAAAAAGAGTGTTAAAAGAGAAAGAGAGAGAGAGAAAGAAATAGTCACAAGTCAAGAGACGAGATGGAAATTTTTCAAAGATAAGAACAAGTGGAAAATTTAAGCGAGGTGAAAAAAATCTTTGAACTGTAAAATTAAAAAAAAAATTGTATGTGAGGAAGAGAAGGTGTGTAAAAATAACTGATAGTCGCAAACGAAGCTTTTTTTCGGTATCTTTTCCTACACTCTGTTGCTTAATAATAAATAAAAGAAATGATGGAAAGAAAAAATAAGGAATAGATAAATATAGGACTAAGAGTAGAAAATAAGAGAAAATAAAAGATTAACAAAAAACGAAAAAAAAATTGAGAAAACAAATAGACAACAAATAGAAAATAAAATAAAAAAGAAACTGAAGGAAAACAAAAATGAAGAAAAAAAAGAAAAAACAAAAAAAAAAACAAAAAAATAAGAAAGAAAAATAAAAAAAGAGATGAAAAACAAAACAATAACAAATAAAGATAGCAAATGAAAAACAAAGTAGAATAAAAAAAAGAACAAAAAGAAATAAAAAAATTTTAACAACAAAAAATTTAAAAAAGAAAAAAAGCAACTAAAAAGAAAATTAAAATAAACAAAAAAAATTTAATAAAAATAGAAATAGAAAAACTGCAACAAAAAAATTGAAAGAAAACAATAAAGAAAGAAAAACAAAAAGAAACTAAAAAAAGCAAAATAAAAAAATAAATGAAAAAAGAAAAAAAAGGAGATAGAATAAAAAAAGAAAAAAATAATTAAAAAAATAAAACAACAAAAAAACAAAAAAAGGAAAAAATACTAAAAAGAAAATGAAAACATATTAAAAAATTCAATAAAAAAGGAAAATAGAAAAAATAAATACAAAAAAAAATTTAAAGAAAACAATGAAGAAAGAAAAACAAAAAAGAACTAAAAAAAAATAAATTAAAGAAATTAATGAAAAGAGCAAATAAAAAAAGAAAAAAATAATTAAAAACATAAAATACAACAAAAAAAGCAACTAAAAAGAAACTGAAAACAAATAAAAAAATTTAATAAAAAAAAGAAAATAAAAAAAATAAATACCAAAAAAAATTCAAAAAAAACAATAAAGAAAGAAAAACAAAAAAGAACTAAGAAAACAAAAAAAATTTTTTAAATTCAATAAAAAGATTTGACCAAAAAAGATTAAAAGAAAACAAAAAAGAAAGAAAAATAAAATAGAACAAAAAGAAACTAAAAAGGAAATGAAAAGAAGTAAAAAAATTTTAAAAAACAAATAAGAAACAAAATAAAATCAAAAGAAAGATAAATAAAAAAATTTCAACAACAAAAATTCAAAAAAGAAAAAAAGCAACTAAACAGAAAGTTAAAACAAATAAATAAATAAAAAACCGGCAACAAAAGAATCAAATGAAAACAATAAAGAAAGACAATTAAAAAAGAACTAAAAAAACAAATTTAAAAAACAAATGAAAAAAGCAAATAAAAAAATAAAAGAATAAATACAAAAAAATTTAAAGAAAACAATAAATAAAGAAAAACAAAAAAGAATTAAAAAACAAAAAAAAAATTAAAGAAATTAATGAAAAGAGCAAATAAAAGAAAACAAAATAATTAAAATAATAAAATACAACAAAAAAAAGCAACAAAAAAGAAACTGAAAACGAATAATAAAATTTAATAAAAAGAGAAATAAAAAAGAAAAATAAAAAAAAAATTAGAAAAATAAAATACAACAACAAATGAAACTTAAAAGGAAACGCAAAGAAGTCAAAAAATTTAAAAAGCAAATAAAAAACAAAAAAGAAAGAAAAAACAAATCAAAAAATAAAAAAAAAACCAAAAAAACTTTTAAAAAAACAAAAAAGAGAGAAAAAGCAAAAAAAAAAGTTAAGAAACAAAACAAAAACAAATAAAATATAAAATAAAACAAAAAAATGAAAAGTAAACAAAAAAGAAATAAAAACCGAAAAAGAGTTAAGAAACAAAGCAAATACAAATAAAAAAGGATATTGAAAAATATAATGGAGAACAAAAAAGAATAAAAAAAAACAAAGAAATAAACCAAAAAAACAAAAATGTAAACAGATAGAAAAATACACAAAAAAACAAAAAAAAGTAAAGTAAAAATACCAATTAAAAAACAAAAATGAAAAAGAATAAAAATAAATGAAAACCAGAAAAAAATAAAATAAACAGAAAGAAAGAAAAAATCACCAAAAAAATAAAAACAAATGTTTTAAAAGAATATCCAAAATAAAACAAATATTTTAAAAGAATATCCAAGGAATTTGTAAACAGATTCCTAAAAATGAAAAGAAAGAGCAAACAAAAAGAAAAGAGAAAATTAAAACCAAAAGAAGGTAAAAAAAAATAATTTGAAACCAACTGGCAACAACAAGAAAAAGAATAGTACATAACATACGTGTATAAACAAACGCCAATAAAAAAACCAAAGTATAAAAAAAAATACGGCGAAAAAGTTTAAAGTAAAGAAAAATGTGAAAAAATTAAGAGCACGATGAAGAGAAATAAAAAAAGAAAGAAAGAACTTTCTTCCTGCATTATTTCAACATGAAATGCGTTTTCGCGTTTGCCGCTCTGTATTTTTTTTTTTTGTTTTTGTTCTTTATGTGCCAACTATTTTAAAGCCCCCTCAAAGTTTTACAATTTTCTTTTACTGTAAATTGGCGAGCTTCTCTTTTCCTCGATACCTCTAACTGGAAATAACAGAAAAGCCGCTTTTTTCTCAACGAGCAATGAAATTGAGAGGAAAAAACATGAAATGTATACACCTATATATATGTATTCTTGCGATAAAAACACTTAAGACGATAAAAAAAGAGAAGAATACATACATCAATTTATGTATATATTCGATTGCAAATTAAGATAAGATAATTATTGAGAATGTGATTCATAAGTGATGAATTAATAATAATAATAATAAGAAAAGAAAAACACATTTAAAAACATTGATAAAATGGAGTATTTTTATCTTCGTGAAAAATAAGAATTTGGGAAAACAAATATTCTTTTAATTTTTTGACTGGTTGTAAAATTATTATTCACGGTTTTTGTATAGTTATTATTAATTATTACTTATTATTTATTATTAATTAATTATTTTTTTTACTATTTATTTTACTATTTAATTATTATTAATTATTACCTATTATTCTATTTATTTTTATTCAGAATTAATCAGGAAAATTTGAATTATTATTAATTATTTTTTTACTATTTATTTATCATTTTGAATAGGTTTATTTAAAAATAAGTAACTTCTCGCCCTTCGTGAAATTCAACGAAAAAAAAATTTTTCAAGCGAAAAAATCCAGGGACTTTGCAAGTAACTGGAAAAACTAGTCAGAGCCTTGCTAGAGCCCTGATAGAGGCAAGATTTTTTCGTTTTTTAAATTAACTTCTGTTTCCTTCCTTATTTCTTTATATCTCATTTTCTTTACTTTCTAAAACTTACACTATTTACTTTTAACTGTTTCAAGAAAGAAGAAAGGAAACGAATAAATAGGGCTTTAAAAAGGTCCTGGATAGTTTTCCTAATTAGAGATAGGAAAATAACAAATCTTGGCTGGTAAATAGGAAAACTGGTCAAATCCTTGTTAGAGCCCCAATTAAAATTGGAATTGGTAAGAGTTTTTTCTAGTTTTCGGCTATTTACTATCCAGCCCCCGGTTAGCGCCCTATTTCATTTAGGTAACTCTAATCAAAATATTTTTTAAAGTCCTGTTTAGTTTTTATTTTTTTACTAACCAGCGCCTTGT